AAGAATGCTGTCTCCCTGAAGTCACACCAGAGAGCACAAGAGACCCAAGTTGGCCACCTGGCCCCTGGTCGGGCCCAGGCCCTTACCCAGGGAGATGGTGACCGCACTTTTGTCCGTAAGGGTCATGCAAATCCACTTCCAGCCAGCTACAAAGCTGAATAAAGAGAGCCCAACCACAACCCAGTGGGGGCCGCAGCACTGGTTTGGACCCTTACTCTGCACATGGATGGAAAAGTGCATGGGACCTTCAGACAACCTTCGTTCCTTGTGTCAGATGATGTCTAGAGTGTGCTGACCGACCGTCTCTGCTTCTGGCAAAAGGTGGCTGAAATAATTTTAGATTGGTCATTTAAAAAAGTCATTAAGTAATCAATGTTGCTTCTTTTCCAGTGTTTATACAAACTGATCAAATGCTTTTGCCATAAAGTAATTCCAAAAGATTCTTACTAGAAAGACTATGTTCTTGGCCGTAATTCAGATATATGAACAACCCAGGCATGTGCCCTGACTAGGAATTGAACTGGTGACCCTCTGCAGGCCAGTGCTCAATCCACTGAGCCACACTAGCCAGGGCCATTGGTTGATTCTTTTATGTGCCCTGACTAGGGATCAAACCTGCAACCTTGGCATATTGACATGATGCTCCAACCAATTGAGCTATCTGACCAGGGCAGGATAAGTGTTTTGTATACCATGTAGAAGTATAAATTTGAGAATATACCAAAAAAATTAAACAGGAGAATATAAAAGAAATCTAACCTTTTTATATTGTGAGGGAGGGTCAGTTTTCTCTATTCCCTCTGTTTTTCTGGCTGGTCTAATAATTGACATGAGACAAATTAACATGAGAAAATAGCCAAATTTAATTATGTATGCACATACAGAGATTCCATAAGAATCTGGGGCCCAAGGAAAAATCCGCGGTTGAGGTTTACATGCCACCTTGAGCAAAGGAGCAAAGGGAGTGGTATGTAGTGGTTTGATGTAGTAGACTGTTCTGCGTGGCCCTGCTCCCACTCAGAGATGCATAGGACCCACGCCCACAGATAGGTTCTCCTGTGGGGAATTAGGCCTGCAATGTACCTAGGCTGCTGTGAGTCTTGCTTTTTGCTAAAACTCCCTCACCCTGAATTGAGGACATTTACTGCAAAGCAACTTCCTAAAATCCATGCTAAACCTTCCAAGGATAAGTGTAACCAGTCCAACTACTTTTACCTTTTCATTTGCAAATATCCCTCTTCTGTGATGTGATTACCAGCATCCTCTCCTTTGTTTTCTATAAAAAGGTAATCACCTAAAGCAAATCTGTGCATAGTAAATGAGGACCATCATGTAATGGGCAGAGAAACTCAATAAAGGCCTGTCATGGTGGAAGCCAAGTCTTTTGCTCCCCTGGAGGGAAAAGCAATGCTGGCCCTTTTCTTCCACCAGACTCAGTAGTCCATGTGAATGTCTCAGTTCATCCATAATGATGCGGACACTGCGGGTCGGTGTCTGCATCAGTTTGGAACTTCAAAGCAGGGCATAGCAGCATAGCTTTTCACAGGGAGGTGGAAGAACAAATGTTCTGTAAACAGATGTTTGCTGGCCCGTATTTAACAATGGGCTCAGAGAGGACTTTGATCCAAAAGGCCTAGCTAGGTTCCCCCCTGACTGAAACATACTAGCTCCTATTAAACTTTCATTCTCTGTGATGAGAGCTCCTTTTCTGGAGCAGGTCCTCCATCTAAAATTTTTTAGGCACTTCAAGGGAAGGGCAAAGTTTTTCCAGAGTCTTTCATTTCTTAAAAATAACCAGCTTAAAGTAACATCCCAAAGAAACATATTTTGGGGTTGGCAAACTCTGTTCCCCTTCAGTATGGTAAAGGAATGTACAAAAAAGTACAGTAGTACTTTCATCTATTTATCATTCAACCTGGAATGCTATGCCAAATGCTTAACAACCAGAACAGTGTGAAACTTTCACAGCCAGGCCTGGCTGCTGTGGCTTAGTGGATTGAGTGCCAACCTCGGAACCAAAGGGTCACCAGTTCAATTCCTAGTTAGGGCACATGCCTGGGTTTTGGACCAAGTCCCCAGTAGGCAGCATGATAAAAGCAACCACACATTGATATTTCTCTCCTCCTCTTTCTCCCTGCCTTTTCCTCCTCTGTGTCAGGTAAATCAATAAAATCTTTAAAAAAAAAATTTCACAGCCAAAACCTTCTCTGGAAGAAAGGGCTTATTGAGCCAAATGCTAGCCAGCAGAGGAACAGGCCCTGGCACATGCAGTGGTGAACCACAGCATCAGGCTGGATGGAGAGGCAACATGTCAACTAAAAATGTTAATGTATGTTTATTTTGTATATTTACATATTTCCTTTTATTTTTTAATTCTCACCTGAGGACTTTTTTTTTTCATTGCTTTAGCGAGAATGGAAGAGGGAGAGACAGAGTGAGAAACATTAATGTGAGAGAAACATGGATTGGTTGCCTTCTCAGACACACCCCACCTAGAGAAAGAACCCAAACCCTGGGAATGTACCCCTAACTGGGAATTGAACCTGCAACTCTTGTGTTACATGATGATCAAGCCACACAGGCCAGGCCTATCTGTATATATGTTTTAAACCTGCTTACCAAGTGAAATAGTGTATCAAACTGTTACAGGGTGCAGCCAAGACGGGGGACCCCAAATGGGCATTTGAAATGGGGTCCAGAACTTAAGGTGTCCAGGAGATTTTAAGATGTCTCCACCCCCTCCCCCCCCCCACGGTGTGGGTTGGGGGAAGGGACAAATGGAGCAGGGCCATTGAGATCTGTTTTGCATGGCAACAGCCTTGCAGCTACCCTCTGGCGTGGTCATTTAACATATCTATAGCCTTTGGCTGGTTGCTTAGATATGTTAAATAGCTGTGATCATCTCTGAGCCAGGGGAATGGAAGTAACTTCCCCACCAACACGTGACTGGAGCAGATTCCCCCCAAGCTACAGCGCCTGCATGGGAGCTCGGAGAAGATTGGCTCCAGGACATGGGGCCACACCTGCCCAGACTCAAGATGGCAGCCCAGTAAAGCTGGAAGGATACGAGTTCCGGCATGTGAAGCCGAGTGTGGGAGGAGTCAGAAATGAGGCTGCAGAGGAAGATTGGCCACGGGGTTTAAAACCCAGACTTGGTAGCCATTAGAAAAGGGAACCACGCGGCTTTGGCAGAGTGGGGACTCTCCCCTTCCCGCAGCCCTGAGAGGGAGAACCACGAGGCCTGGACAGAGTGGGGACCCCCACAGCTTTAGAAGGGGAACCACCACCTGGTTTTAGCAGAGATCCCGGCGACTCAGCCGAGGGTGCCAGGAACCCAGGGAGGTCTCCCAGTCGAGATGGAGGACTAACTAAGAACCAGAGGACTGCCTGAGCCATGGACTTCGTTTTCCTTTCCTAAGATATGGTACTCTGGACTGGGCAAAGGGGGAAGGAAGGAAGGACTGTGACTGTGTTTGTGGGTGTTTTAAGGGACTTTAAGATTTTTGATAAAGATACTAGGTCACTACTTTAAGTTTGTATAGCATTAAATAAACATTTCCTTTCCCTTTCACGAATCTCTGGCATTGAGAGACATCTTTCCTAGGGCGGCGGACATAACGGACCCGGGGCCTTCTTTCAATAATAGTATATTGTCCCAGGCTCCCCTTGTTGTGTTCTGTAACAAAACCATTCATCAAGTCATTCTTGATTTTCAAGAAAAAAATACATATATATGAATTTTTAAAGGATTACATGTTTATTTCAGAAAGGAGGAAAAATAAAAGTAGAAAACAATTTTTCCTTAATACTATTGCTCAGTATTTTGGTGTTTCTTTTTTTATCTTTTTCAAAGTTGAATTCACACTGTGTCTGAAATTTTTATTCTGCTCTTTTTCACTAAGCATAAAACATTCTTTGTGAATGTAACTTGAACGTGGAAATAAATGAAGACTCTCCCAAAAGAGAAGAGGGACTATTTACCCAGAGCTTGCTTTAGAAAAGGAATCAGCCACCGCCACTCGCATTTAGCGGACACTGCAAACCCAGGCAGAAGGGTGGGAAGGCTTAGAAAACCAGGCAAGTCTTCAGGTGCGCGTGGGGCGGCAACACTGGGGCTGGCTGACTGGAAGGATGTCCTATTTAATTGGATGGGGCAGCACAATTGGCTTTCTCTGGTTTGCCCTGAGATGGGGAGGAGGTGAAAAATAAGGACACTGGCAGTCATTGATAGTCCTCACAGGCTCGGGTTTGACTTATGGCGCTAAGGACCGCAGTTGCGACTCCGCCCCTGCCTGGGCAGCCTTGCTCCTGCACCTGCAGAGTGGAGTCTGAGCAATAGGTCTTCCGCGGGCTGCAGGCTGCAGGCTGCAGGCTGAACTGGTTTCGTTTACCGCTGCCTCGGTGACCATGACTGCTTCCCAGGGTTCTCCGCTGCCCGGCCCTCCGGGCTTGGGCTCCAGGTTAACTGACCACGTCCTCTCAGTTGTCCGGCAAATTCCAACCTTGGGCCCACGAGGTGGACCGGAGGGGGGGGGGGGGAGGCGCCCTCCAGCACCCTCTCCGCCACCTCTCCGAGACAGGAAGAAGCAGAGGAAACAGTGCGGACGAAGGCTGGACCCGAAGCGGCGCGTCGAGGCCCAGCCCTCGCGACTACGATCTGTCCAGCCAACCCACGAGGAAGCGCTGGCTCAGGGAGAGAGGGGAACTGGTCTGAGATCAGACACTAACTCAAACCACAAACTACGCCCCACTAAGCAGCAAATGCAGATTGCAGTCTTGGTGTCGAAGTGGGCCGGGCCGACCGCCCAGACGCGCTGGGGGCTAAGCGGGGAGGGGGCGCCTGCAGAGGCGAGGTGGGCCGAGGCTCGGGCGCAGGGCGCACGCGTGTAGGAAGCGGTGCTGGGGTGGGGCTAGCCTCGTCCGAGCGCCGGCAGGGGGCGCAGCCGGGGCGGGCCGGAGCGCAGGGCGCAAGCGCACACGAGGTGGGGCGGGGCCGGAGCTAGCCTCTTCCTAGCGCCTGCTGGGAGCAGAACCGTGAGGACGCGGGGACTGAGCGTAGGGCCCAGGGGCGAGCGCACGCCCTCGCGAAGCCCGGCGGGAGGCCGCTATGGAGCCGTCTCCGCAGGCTCGGGTCCTGCGATGCTGCTGCTGCCGCGTCTTCCAGGCGCACCAGGTGGGGCGGGCGTCGGCCTCCCCTCCGGGACCTGACCTCCTTCCCGCGCCCTGCCCAGGCCCTTCCACCTGACGTGGGCGCCGCCTCGTGCGGTCGCGCGGTGCACCTAAGGCCCGGGCAGATGACGATGACTATCTTGAGGACTAGGGTTTATTGATGTCGCTTCTCCACGACGCCGCGCCGGGCTTTTTCCGTGTTTTACTTGGAGATTGAAAGATTCGTAGAAACCAGGGATGATGGTTTCTGCGGAGGCGGCCCAGAAAGTGGCTCTTTATGTAAACACAGGGGAGAAGGCAGTTTTTGAACTAGGACGCGGCTGTGCGCCCCCTGCCGTCGCTCCTTGGCTCATTTATCCGAGGGGCTGGACGCCTACGGCCTAAGCCTAAAGCCGCACCGCCAGCGAAGATGTTAAGTACAAGGTGGGGCGAGAGTAGGTTTACAGTTGTTCATAAACGGTTTCACTTACAACTGTAAACCTACTCTCGCCCCACTCTGTATTCTTAACTAGATCGTATTCTATCTCCTACTTAAAGTCAGTGTATCCGCTTCTGAAAGTCCCCTCATCTCACTAGGTATCTTCCAGTCTGCTGTATTCTGAAAAAGAACGGCATCAGACTTCTTTAGGGGCTTGGAAACTGTTCTTACTTTATTTTTTGGACTGTGTTCTAGGAGTTGAAAGTAAATGGGAATCATTTCCATCTAAGTTTTTCACGCGTCATGTAATACGTGCTCTCACGGTTATGTTCAACTCTGAAAAGTGAGTTGAAACCAGAGGGGGAAGAGAGCTAACAGGTTAATTGCAAGTCCGCTGTGTACCAGACAATGTTGCATATCTCGCTCAGTTCCAACAGCTTCTGAGGAGGTATTCTTTAGGTCTCTCTGGCTAATAAACTGCGAAGATCCTGTTACACACTGTGGCCTCTGTCCACCCCCTCTCTAGCCATACCCCTGTCACTGTGTGTCCTTCCAGACATTTTATTGTTTTTAAATGCATTTCCCACTTGCCTATGTACCCACACAGTATTTGTATGGTGTTTGAGGTAGATGCTGAGAAGTGGAATTGCTAAATCGTAAGATATATACCCACTTGAATTTGTATTAGATGCTGCTATTCTGCCTTAGAATATTGAGGCACACATCCCCAAAACCTTAGTGGGTTTTGTGTCAGGATCATGTTAATCATATTAACTTTTACAAACCGACCTAGACATTCTTATGATGTTGAACATACTATTGCATTGTTTCTTCAAGCAACTTCAGTGCCTGTTGATAGCATTTTCTTTGTTGCTGCGTGGATAGGTTCTACCCAGATGTTTGCTCCCTTTGGTAGTTTTTCACTGGATTCTGGGCTTTTGGATTAAAAAAACAAAACAAAACACCTCATTATATCTATATCTTATGATACTTTTCTTTTTTCTCCTTTCCAATCTTTATACCTTTTATTACCTTCTCTTAAAAAATTCCACTGGGTAAACATCCAGGAAAAAATGGTAAATAATAGTGGGGATCCTTGGCATGTTTCGGCTTTTGTGGGGGTGCTAGGAGTGATTCTTCAGCTTCAGAGCTGGGTATAAGGTATTTTATCATGCTGAGAACCCACCCATTTAAGTTTATCAAGAATCAGAACAAAGCCCTGGCTGGTGTAGCTCAGTGGATTGAGTGCGGGCTGTGAACCAAAGGGTCTCCAGTTCAATTCCTAATCAGGGCACATGCCTGGGTTGCAGGCCAGGTCCCTAGTGGGGGCCACCTGAGAGGCAACCAACCATGCATGATGTTTCTCTTCCTCTCTCCTCCCTTCCCCTCTCTCTAAAAATAAATAAATAAATATATTTTTTAAAAGAATCAGAACAAAATGTTACAGGATTATTTCTTCAAACCATACCTGGTAACGATCCAACTTGAATTTCTTTCATACAGATATCTGCCCTTCCCAGCACTGCTTAACAGTCTCTTCTTTCCTCGCCTTTATAACATACTGAATTTTTATATGTGTGTGTGGTTTGTTTTGGGACTGTTGATTTTTTTCTCATTGATCTTTTAAAATTATTTTTCTGATCCAGTTCTACCTGTTTTAAATAATGCCTAAGCCACATTTCTGAAATTTCATTGTAGGTGAAAAAGAGTCTCAAGTGGACATGCAAAGTTTGTGGAGAGCAGCAGTCATTTTTACGGGTGAGTCCTACAAAACAGGGTGTCCAGCACTGACCAGTGTGGCTCAGTGGATTGAGTGCTGGGCTGTGAACCCAGGGGGTCACTGGTTCAATTCCTGGTCAGGGCACAGGCCTGAGTTGCAGGCCAGGTCCCCAGTGGGGGGCACATGGGAGGCAACCACACATTGATGTTTCTCTCCCTCTTTATCCTTCCCTTCCCCTCTCTCTAAAAATAAATGAATAAAATCTTAAAAAAAAGAAAGAAACAGAGTATCTAGTACCCATGCCAGGAAGCAGGTTGGCCCTAGCACCAAGGAAGTCTGCTGCTCACGGAGTCCCAGCATTTTGCTGTGGAGGTCAAGTCCACGAGATGCAGAAAGAGCCCCTGCTCCCTAGGGTCCTGGTCCTTCGGCCAGTGAAATGAATGGAGCAGGAACCGGAAAGGTGCCTTCAGCCCTCCGTTCCTTCAGCAAGTATTTATTGAGCACCTTTTAGTACCAGCGTTGTCGCTCTTGCGCTCAAAGATCTGCTCCTGTGGAAGGGAAGGAGAAACTAGCATAGGTAGATGAACACATCACGCACAGTGTGAAACTAGCCGGGCCCCGGGGGCACATTCGGGATCCATGTTTCTCTCTCCCTTCCTCTCCCTCTTCCTCTCTCTAAAATCAATAAATGTGCCCTTGGGTGAGGATTTAAAACAAAACCAAAAACCTAGGCTGGCCCTGGCCAGGTAGCTCAGTGGCCCGGAGATGTGCCGAGGCTGTGGGTTTGATCCTGGTCAGGGCGCATACAAGGCCTGACAAATGAATGCATAGGTAGGTGGGAACCACAAATGACAATAAATTGATGTTTCGCTCTCTCCTCCCTTCCTTCCTCTCTCTAAAATCAATAAAAATTTAAAAATAAATGAATAAGACTAGAGTGGGCACAATGAAAGAAAGTGCAGGGGCCAAAAAGATGACAGAATTAGCTGGCAGTGGCAAACAGCCATTGGTGGTTGCAGGGGTAGGAGTCGGGGGTGGGGCACGTTTGGGCTGCGGAGGCGGTCAAGAGGTGTTGGGCTAGCCAGGATGCGGCGTTCACAGCATTCAAGGATGCAAGGCACCACCACGTTCTATGTGCTCTTACCTGACCCGTTTTCTCACCTAGCATCAGGACTCTGTGTAGGCTCACACCTGCTGACCCACCCCGATCTCTTTCACACCTCAAGTTGTCCTCCGATCTTTCCTTACCGAGCTTCCCTTCACTGGCTGCAGCCTCATCTCAGCACCCCTCAGCCATGGGGACTTTTCCTTTGGATGTGGAAGCAGTCCAGACCTGTGCCCCTGCCAGGGCCTCTGTGCCCTTTGTTGGAGTTCACCTAGCTGTTCTCATTATCCTGATCAGGGATTACTTCGAAGTGGCCCTGATCTGTGTGGCTAAGTTGGTTCAGCATCATCCACAATGTGAAAGGTCGCCAGTTCTGTTCCCAGTCAGGGTCGTGGGTTTGGTTCCAGGTCAGGGTGCATAAAAGGCAGCCGATCACTGTTTCTCTCTTGCATTAGTGTTTCTCACCCTCTCTTTCTCCCTCCCTTCCCCTCTCTCTAAATAAATAAATGAAATCTTCTTTTAAAAGAAGGGAGGAAGGCAATTATGTCACAGTGTGTTTATGGGAGCACTGCCCATCGCAGACTGGAAGTTACCCCATGAGCAGAGGCTTTGCTGGCATGACTGAGGGGTGTCCTCTTAGCACCCAGCACAGTGCCCTACACCCAGAAAGTGCTCAGTAAATATGTGTCGAGTAAATGACCAGCCTCACGTTGATGGGCATTTCTGTCTATTTTAGTTTTTATTGTGATGAACTCTGCATTGATGCTTCTTATAAACACCTCTTTTCTTCACTTGGCCAATTACTTACTTACTTAGGACAAATTCTAGAAGTCAGATTTCTGTTTCAGAGGGTACCTTTTCAACTGAGGTGCACAGCTGCTGACCAGCAGGCACCATCTTTTCCTCCCCTCTCCCTGCCTCTCTCCCCAGGCAGTTCACGACTTCACTCACAGACTGTAGGGTCTCCCTGCATGCCAGCTGGAAGGGCTGAGTCCCAGTGGTCAGCTCCTGGCAGAAGTGATCCAATTGGGCCTGCGGACTCAGATGCCCGCCTCCGGGCGAGACAGCTGGGGATGGGCGGGGTGGAGACCATCAGTCCTCAAGGGGAGCTAGCTGCCCAGGCCTCCCTGAGCCAGGCACACAGCTGGGTCAAGGGACTGCTGCCTGTTTAAGCATTGGCCTGCATTTCCGAGTTCTCTCCCAGGGGCTGTGCCGCCTGCTCAGCACCTCTGTGCACGTGCAATGGGGCGTGACTCGGGCTTGACGAGGCTGCAGTGAGAGGTGGATACCAACACCAAGGGGTTAGACATGGTAGCAGCTGTTTCTCTTGCTCTTAGAACAGACCTGGGAGGGACTGCGGTCAGCAGGGCCCTGTCCATGGTGTGGCCCTCTGGGGACCCAGGCACCTGTTATCCTGGGTGCTATTCTTCCCTGAGGCTGACCACAGCAAAGAGGAGCCCTCAGGAGGCTTTTGGGGGCCAGGCCTTGGAGTGGTGCATACTCCAAGTGTCACACCCACACCGGACCACAAGGAAGACTGGAAATGGAGCCTAGTTTGTTCCCAGACAGGGGAGGCATCTCAGTGCTCAGCCAGGGGCCCCTGCCACGCAGTAGCGAGCACACGTCCTATTGGTGATGCCAGCTGTGGCTTCCCATCCTTCAGCTTTCTGTCCCCTCCAGCTCCTCCCCTTTCATTCTCACCTGAGCTTGCGCGCAGAGGGAGCTCGGGCCCCCCAGGCCACTCACACGGCTGTCCTCTGTCCTCGTCAGCAGCAATCTCCGCGCTGTGCGCTGTGAAGAATACTGGGGCGCACTCAGTGCTCCGCTGACCACATTCTCAGTGGCCACTGTCACTTTGTCACTTCCTTGTCCTCACAACCTTCTGCACTCGGCCCTGTCACTGTGCTCCTGGCTTTCCTCCTGTCCTGCCCTCCTGTCCCCTGGGCTGTGTTTCTCTCAGTCCTCTGCTGGATTCCCATCCTCCCCACTTCCCAACCTCACCGCACGCCTGCTTTTCCCCCAGCCATCCCCATCTCTTTCTTTTTGATAGATTTATTTTCTTTAATTACAGTTGACGTTGAATATTACATTCATTTCAGGTGTATAACGCAACGGTCAGACATAAACATTGGTCCCCCTGGAGGAGTCTAGTCCCCGCCCGGTGCCACCCTTCGGCATCACAGTACTGCCGACCTCAGGCCCTGGGCTGCACTTCCCGGCGGTGACCATCCCCTGCCTGCCCGCCTGCCCTCTCCACCCCTGCACCTATCAGCCAGCCTCCCTCCTCTCCGGTGGCTATCCGTCTGTTCTCTGTATCTGTGGGTTTGTTTCTGTTCTGTTTGTTCATTTATTGTGTTTTCTAGGTTCCACGTGAAAACTAAGTCACATACGTTTGCCTCTGTCTTGGCCCATTTCACTGAGCGTAATGCCTTCTAGGTCCATCCATGTCATGAACATCATAGGTACTCAATAAACATTTATTGAACGCATGAGTAACAGCTACATGGTGAAAAAAGTATCATTTTAATTGGTATTCCTTTGATTATCAGTGAGAGAGATTATTTCATATGTATATTAGCAGTTTGTATGGCTTCTGAATTTATGTCCACTAACCATTTGGGGTGGGGTTTGGGACTGAGTTTGGCTTTGATGTGTCAAGGTCTGGGTCCCACGGGCAGCCAGATGGCCCGACAGCACTCGTCGCCTCAGACTGCTGATGTGTGAGTCACTCCGCAAGCAGCCGTCAGTCGCGGATCCCTGCGCGGTGCTGCAGGCGCCCCGGGCCTTGCAAAGTGTGGCTTCACCTCCCTCAGGTGTGTCTCAGCATCCTGTTAGCATTTTTTAGACGTAATATGTGTGTGTGTGTTTCTCAGGCTTACGGTGAGGGCTCTGGTGCCGACTGTAGACGCCACGTCCAAAAATTGAATCTGCTGCAGGCCCGGCTATCAGAGACGCCACGCAGGTACAGCGGTTGAGAGGGGTGCACTGCCGTGCATTGTTCTGTCCAGGGACTGGGGACCCCGTGGGGTGGGGGGCCTGCAGCGGCCCTCCTCCAGTGAGCTTCTTGGGCTCACCGGTCCATGGCCCGGGGTTGGGGACTAACCCAGAGGTCCCAGACATCCAGGTCTTCCCTTGCAGCGAGTGGACGCCCTGGAAACTCTTCCCACTGAGAGTAAGTGAGGTTTGGAGACTGGGTGCCTTCAGAATGGACAGCCTACTGGGCTTGGCTAGAAAATCATTTCAGATGCCAGCTATGCTGCGTTGAATGCACTGATGAGATGACAAGGAAATAAATCATGACCAGGGGTCGAAGACAAAGCAAAAGGCATGCTCCAGGGAATAAGCGCGTGGGTTATGAGGGCGGTGAAGCCGGGAGAGTCCTGGCGGGAGGCGGGCGCACACTCGGGGTGGAAGGTCAACGGGAGAGGCCACAGAAAGCCGAGTCCCCCAGGAAACATACCCCTTCTGCAGCTGGGAGGCAGCCTGGGTGTCCTCGGTATTGGCTGAAGAGGGGAAATATTGGTCTAGGATTTTATAAGCACAAGGGAGCTACCACGTGTCTTTTTTCAGCCTATTCTAAGCTGAGAATTCATTTCCACCAGACAGTCCCAGGAAGCAGAGGTCGGTGCTGCGCCTCTCTGAAGCAGCATCATCAGCCCAGGCTGGAGAGCATCCCCGCAGATGGAGTTCCAAGGAGTGAGTACGAATACTCAGAGTTAACGATCAAGGAATCAGGCCCCATAAGCAAAAACTGCAGATCAACAGGCTGGAAAGGCAGGCCCACAAAGACATCAGAATCATAATATGTGTTCATTATTTCATGAAATAAGAAGGTTGGCAATAGGAGCAAGAACCTTTAAGAAATAATGGAGTAGTTCTGAAAAAAGAACCAAAAGGAGTGTAGAAATGCAAAGAACACTCATTGCAAATAAAACTAGTGGACAAGCTAAACAGGTTCAGTGCAGCAGAAGACTGGATTGGTGAAATGGAAGATAAACCTGAAATTACTCACGACGTCGCCCAGAAAGACAAAAAGGTGGAAAATAGGAGCTGAGAGACATGGTGGATTCAAAGAAGAGTTCCAACAAGAATAAAAAGAATCAGACAAAGGCAATATTTGCAGAGAAAGGATGGAGCATTTTCCAGAATCAAAGATTTACATTCTTAGATTCAGGAAACACAATAAATCTACAACTTGACAAAGATACCATGGATGTAAGAAATCCTGATGAACCTACACGAAAAGTGACTAGAGCTAATAAGTTAATCTGGTGAGATCACGAGGATACCATATCAACATACTATACAACATTAAATTTTATTTTTACATAAATGCAGGAAACCACTGGAAAATGATTGCTTACATCAAGTAGTGTTAATAGCATCAAAAATGAAATTCTTAGGCTTAAATATACTGAGCTTGTGTAAGGTTGGATCAGTAAAAACAATAACAGATCATGATGAGAAATAAAAAAGGTATGAACCGGTGAAGAGAGAATATATTCGGGGACCGGGGGGTACAGTGTCGTTCAGGTGGCTCATCCTGAATGGGTCCTGGAGCCGACCCAGTCACAGTTGAAATTCCAGCAGCCTGGGGTTTTAGAAACTGACAACCTGATCCTAAAACTTATATACAAATTCGAAAAACCTAGAATTGCTGAGACAAATTTAATAAGAACGGAGTTGGAGGACTCCCATAGCCTGGTTTCAAGACTTACTCTGATGCTGCATAGTCAGGGTAGGGTGATGCTGGGGACGGGTAGAGGCGTAGCAATGTCAGCAGGTGAGTGAGCAAACAAACTGCAGCGCACTCACTCAGGGGGACGCTACTCGGCAACGAGATCTCGAAGTGAGAGAAGCCAGACACAAAAAAACACACAGCACAGGGTCAGCCGTTTTCTGGTGAGTGGGATTCCACATTTTGGGGTGATGAAATTTGCTATGTCTTATTAATTATATCTCAATAAAAATTTTTCCTATATCTTGATTGGGATGATAGTTTCAAAGGTATAATTTATCAGAACTTAGTAACTATACACATAAATGGCTGTATTTTAGTGTGCGAGGTCTGTCCAGAAGATATCCAGCCATGTGATATGAAAAATAAATTTGTTGAAGATACCAGAAACATCATCGTACACAGGACAGAGACACCTCAGTCCCCTTCAAAGTATGCACCTTGGGACCTCACACAGTTCTCCCAGTCACCATCAGCTACCCTGTTATATTTCCCTGAATCTCATCAGTGGTCTGAAATCTCTTCCCTTTCAAAATGATTTTAGTTTTGGGAAAAGCCGGAAGTCACAGGACACCAAATCTAGGCTGTAGGTGAGCTGAGTCACCTGGGTGTTTTCATGTTTTGCCAAAAATACTCTGCATGAGACAAGATGCATCAGCAGGCACATTGTCATGATAAAGCTGCCAATCACCAGTTGCCCACAGCTGTGGCCTTCTGAAACTACCTTCTGAATAGTTTCTACAGAGGGATGTTCAAGTTTATTGCAAAATTTGATGCAGATTCATTGCTCTACTCAGTCATTTTGAATGCAACAACCACACAGCATACATGCTCACTCAATTGTGTCTATGCCCCCACTGACTAGAACAGTGAAGGTGTCATTGTTCACATGTGCTCATTCTAGTCCACTCTCCTTGGCTGCCAGGTTACATTGATGTTGTGCAAACAGTTCCCGTTATATTAACAAAGGCTGGACTTTTTCCAGACAGTCCTTGTATATTACTTATACCTCAATAAGGTGATTTTCTTTTTATTTTTTCCATTGACATTTATCCCCCCATTCCCCCTGCCACCTCCATCAATAAGGTAACTTTGAAGGTTAGACTGTCTGCCCTTAGACGAGGCACAGTGAAACCGGAGGGCACAGAAGGCACCGGTGAGAGCCGGAAAGCAGCTGGGGAGAGGTGAGATCACCTCTAATGGGACAACAGACACCCCAGTTCTCAGGGGTAACGTCAGAAGCAAGAAGACTGAGTGGAGCCCCCAGACACTGAGAGTGGGGGTCTGGGGGATTCTGGGTAACAGCCAAAGGGCCATAGCCCAGTGGCACACTGGGGGTGCCCGCGTGCGGGGCAGGGTTTTGTGTGCCTGGTCTCACTTCGCTGTAACTGCCCTGGGAGGGTCACTGACTTCTTTTCACAGACGAACAAATGGAAGTCGAGGTGCCCACATTTGCCAGAGTTTGGGAAGTTTAGGGTTCTCAGCATTCACTGGAGGGGGTTCCAGTTGGATTATGTGACATGACAGCCCTGGCTGGCATGGCTGGGGGTGGCTTTGGTTCTCACCTCCAGCCTTTGCACAGCACCTTCCCACTGGGCATCCAGGCCACTTTCTCTTCTTCTTGGGGTGGGAGAGCCCTGCTTTCCCCAAAGCCTTCACTGCGACACGTCAAGCTCAAGAACACACCTCTTCTCTCTCGAAGTGGTGAAGCACAGCACAACTGAAGGCTCTCATGTGGCCCGTGCAATGGGAACCTGTCCCCTGCCAATGGGAGGACTCTCGGCACTACAGGAGTTCAGACCCCAGGCAGGCATGTTGTCCCATGGGCACACGCCTTGTTTATCCCCCTAGCCACCCACGCAGGCCTGTCCCTGTCTGTGCACAAGCAAACAGTACTAACCCTGAAGTCACACTGTCACGGTAACAGCCAAGTCGTTGGCAAAGCCTGGATGCAAGCTGCGGTCTCTCTGGGTGAAGCGTCTGCCCCGGTGCCTGCATCTCTTCCTGTCAGTGGGGGGCTGACCCAGTCTGAGTCCAGGGAAAAACAGGGCTTGGGGTCAGGCCCTCAGAACTACCAGAAGATTACCGCATCACATTAGAACCGCAGAGCTGAGACAGGGTGCTCCCCAAGAAGTCTTTGGTATTTGGTGTTCCTGGGCAAGTCCCTGCGTCCTGCTTTTCCCTCCTCCTCTCCTTCAGCTTCCTGGTCATTTTACAAAAGGTGTGTGCAACCTTTCCCAAAGGTCTCCGGAAGAGCCTGTTCATGCTGGCAGAGGGAGAAATGCAGGTCCTGGGCCGGCCGAGCTTCTGAGTGCACAGGTGAGCCAGCAGGTGAGCCACCAGCACCATCAGCCCAGCCCCCTGGGCAGGCTCCGACCGGAGGGCTCCATTTAGTCATTCTTCAGTCATTTATTCAGTAAAAGCCTGCTTATGCTACTGAATGGCAGGCACTTTGCTTAAAGCTCCAAGGAACACGAATGGACAGACCTGTCCCTTCTGGAAGGGTGGAGGCCGCTGTGTGCAGACAACTCCAGTGTTCTCTGTCTGTTTGGAGAGCTCCTCTGAACTTAGCACAAACCTCACCTCCTTGTGCTTCCACCCTCCCCTCCTCGCCTGGGGCACACCCCTGGTGGAAGGATGAGGTTATGAAGACCCTGAGTTTCCGTGTTCCTGCTCTCCGGCCCGAGCCTGACAGCGGGGCTCACATGCAGTTCTGCCAGGGGGCCTGGTCAGGGAGGTGCTCGCACAGCGTGGCTGGGTGGTGTGTGTAGGAGCTTGAGGGGGGAGCAGGGTGACGCTGTTGGTGCATCCAGGCCCATGGGCTGTGGGGCACTGTGCCTTGCCACACACCTTCCCTGGAGGCAGGGCCCCCAGATTCTCAGGCCTCAGACTCAGCTGGGGATCTGCAGTGGAAGTGCCGGCTTTCCAGCTGGGAGAATAAATTCACTTCCTGATCCGGCAGGAAGAACCCCAGCCATCCAGGAACCGCTGGCGGAAGTACCTGGAAAGGGGCTCTGGAGAGCTAGGGCTGCAGGGAGCCGTGGGTTTCAGCAGCTGGTCCTCGTCCTCAGTGGGAAAGCTGAACGCTCCCTCTGGGACCCGCCTGCCTAGAACAAGGTGAGTCACGGAGCCAGCATGTGCCCACCGGGCCCCAGGATGGAGGCTGAGGAGTGGCTGGTGGAGGCTGGCATCACCAGCCGGCCGGCTCATCGCTACCGGGCCCTGCTTGGCCTGGCCGGGCACCCAGCACTGCTGGTGATGCAGTGAAGGCTGGGCAGGGTACCACGTGGGCATCGTCCCCAGACTCCCTGAATTGTGAACGTCTGGACTGCACTGCCCTCAGGGAAGAATTTATTTTATGGGCAGGGTTGAGAAAGCGAAGTGTGGCCAGAGTAGCTGACAGCTCTGGAAGCTTGTGGCCGAGAGCAGGAAAGACCTGACTTGTACGGACGGGTTTCTTTTCCAGATGTGAATTCTCTGAAGTTCCGCCTCATCTAGATCCAGGTGGTTATGGGCAGGCGCTATTGGGAGGTAGATTTCAGTTCAAATAAGAACTTTCTAGTGACTCAGCCAGGAGCAGAGAAATGGACTGACTACCTTGGATATTGCAGGGCGGCGGTTACTGGCAGGGGGCAGGAGCTGGCCCAGGAGCCCCAGCCAGTGGCACAGATGAGCAGGTGGCTCTATGGTGATGGGACTGGGTTCTGACAGCACTTCCCCTCTACCAGGAGGTGGAGCCAGAGCGAGGTCCAGCCTCCACACAGACCTGCTGGCCAGGACATGGGGGACTCTGAGGTCACCTCGGAGACACAGAAGGTCCAGAAAGTTGGTGATTGAGGACAGCATTTGTCTTCCCGTCCCACTGACTGTTGAGTGCCCACAGCACTTTGTCGTGTTTTGTGGACAGCTGAAGTATGAGACTTACTGGCCCAGACAAGTGCAGCTCCCCCCCACCCCCCGCCCTGTCTTTGTCTGAAGCCCACTTGTTGGGAACCGCCCTGACTGGTATCAGAAGCTGAAACCCCCGCCTAGGCTAAAGCTAAGGGAATGCCCTTGGAACCGTGAGCCAGCAAGGAGACAAAAGCTTATCTTCCTGGCAGGAATGCTGCTTCTGCTGCTTTATTCATGACTGAACCCCAAAAAGCTTGGTCGGTTAGCCAAAGATGGGTAAGATTCCCCACGGGGGAACGACCTAAGACAGGCACGATCACTTTGGGAGGCCCCCCAAAAGAAGGACTTGGGGGGCTGCAGCAAAAGGGGGGTGATGGACCCTTGCTCCTCGGCTTTGACATAGCCTGAGTTCTCAGCGTCTGGGAAAAAACCTCCTTGTCTCCCAGTTGCCTTAGTTCCCTTGCTCCACCTAAGCCTGAAACAATGACAGGGTGGTGCAGCTCTGTGCTGAGAAGTGTGGATTCCCCGGGGTGATCAGGCCTAAGAAAGAACATGTAAATTACTGTGAAACCTTCTTTGTTTAGAATGCTCTCAGTTGAATGAGAAGGGTCTTAGGAGGAAGTTATTTTGTTCCTCAGTCTTACAGCTCTTTGACCCCCAACTCAATAGACCGGCAGAGTTCTTTGTTTTCTATGGTTCCTTACTTCCCCCTAATGAGTACTGTACTTTACCTGAATTATTATGCAGAATGAGCCTAATAAAAGCAGGTATGGACGGTAAATCAGCGCGCTTCCCACCAGGGTGGGTGGCCATTTTGTCCCTATTTCCCCACAGAAACTAGTCTGTCTCTGTGCATGTGTTATTTTTTCTCGCGTGTTTATCGTCGAGCCATCCACAGTGTTCCGTGGTCACTGCTGGCCGGTGACCCACGCGCATCACCACTTCTTTCCCCTCTCTCCGGCCGCATCTGCACCCTGCCATGCTCGGCCTCTCATTGTCACCTCCTGGTCAGGGGGCCTTTGGGTGCCTTGGAGGCAACCGAGTTAGGGCTTTTTGGAGCCGGGACAGGCTCCCAGGCTCCATGTGTCTGCGTGCAGTGCCTTCAGCAGACTCCTGCATGGGTCCTGCCCTGGTCTCTCAGGCGCCATGTCTACCTCAGAGGCCCAGACGCAGCTGTGTCTTGTGCACAGAGGTGCCCTCTCCCCCAGGACCTGCCCATGGTCTTGATGCCTCAGCCCCAGCAGACCCCGCTGCTCTCTCAGGGCCCAACACAGGCTTTGCCCCAGGTGCCTGGGCAGGGGAACTCAGCTGGATGTCCCGTCTTAGATACCCCGCACACAGACCAAGGCTGGCCTGGCTGGCTCCAAGCAGTGGTGCAGGGCACAGGCTCCAAGCCGAGAGGCGAGAGGCAAGAGGCCAGACTTTGGTGCTGCCGCTCACTGGCTGTGCGATGCATGCGAGGGTGTGGCCCTAACCCTCCACACTAGAGAATGACGTTAGTGACGGTCCCTGAGTGTCAGTCCCTGGGCTAAGCCCTTAACTTTGTGAGTTCCATGCGCACCATGAGCCAGTTTTGTCTGGAAGGTGAGGGCAGAGATGAGTCAGCACCGCAGACCAGGCCTCCTGCATACCGCCTGGCCCTAGTGAGGCAGGGTCCCGCCCGCCATTGTTTTCAAATGATGCCATTTCCAGTGCATCTGGTTCCTGGGGTGGGGGCAGCCAGGCCCCAGCACCACGGCTATGCCCACGGGGGGCCTCTATAGAGCCACCTCCCCAGGTCTGGCCTGAGCCTGGTCCTGGACCGCCCCGCCAGCCTGGCAGTAAGCAGGCAGGATGGGGCCTACATCCTTTTGCCAAAGGCCTCTAGGTCTCCACCAGCTCAGCCCTCCTTGGCCCTCCCTCACCTGAGTCTGCCGTCCCCAACAGATGACTAGTCACTTTATACCTTCTCTCTGGGGACAGCCTGGTCCTGGGGTTTGGCAGAGGGTTTGGATCGAAGTTAGGGGCACTTACTCTCCCCACTGGGTAAACCCTCAGAATCCCAGCAGGCCCCTGCCTTGCAACCTGAGGACTAGCTGGCGGACAGCACAGTGCAGGGAAGCCAGAGTCCAGAGGAAGAGACAAGTGGGCAGCACCTGGTACTGCTGGACAGCTGGCACTTGTCTGAACCAAGGACGTGGCCATTTGCTTTTGTCTCCACTGCAGGGTCACACCAACCTGGCCAGGAAGGTCAGAGGGAGCAGTCACCAGGCCTGGGACACTGGGGAGAGCCCTGGGCCTGGGAGGGCGCCAGTGTGCCACCCAGCAGGTGAGGGCCATGCCTTCTCAGTGGGTACGATTCCTTCCACCACCTAGGAACAGCACACAGGTGGACACAGAGCCCTCAATACTGCTGCAGAGGGGCCCCATGCCAGCTGAGGCAGCACGAGCTGAGCAGGAGACCCCACAGGACTCAAACCACAAGACTACTGGTGCACTCCAGCTTCCTTGGGCCACACACACTCCATGTGGGCCCAAGAGGCCCTTTGAGGTGATCCCTGAGCAGTTGTGGGGTACAGGCCCTCAAGCAGAGGGCGGGTCCTTGGTCAGAGGGGCACCAGAGTCCCGACTTGTGCGACTACAAGACCTCTTTAACACTGGGGAGGACTTCGATGACGCCCTGTGAACAGACTGGGGTGTCACTATGTGGGTGTGTCTGCTATGTGAGCCTTCCCAGCAAGACCTGTCGCTGCTTCTAGTGAGCGGGACTGAGGATTTATGGGAACTGCTGAGAACCGACAATAAACATGCATTTCAAACAGATCATCTCTTGTTGCAACATCTTTGAGTAAAGTGCTTACATCACTTAATTACAGGTGCGTTACAAATATGCTAACAGAATGGCTACAAAGGGATATTCTTCCTTTAAAAGCAGGTGACACATTTGGAAACCAGGGAACTGTAATGGTTAAGGAACAGGCAGCGGTCAGCGACCACCATCAGTTCCCGTCAGCCCTGCCTGTTCCCAGACATGAAGCCCGTCCCAGGCTGTCCTGCCCTCAGGGACTCGCTCCAGGACAGCCTCCTTCCTGGCAGGATGGTGGCTGTATTCCAGCTAACCTTGGAGCAGATCAGGTTTCCAGCAGAAAATCAACTACGTCAGTGTACTGTTAGTCATTTTAAAAAAAGCAGAAGGCCATCAGGCAAGATGCACTCTAGACTGCTGGTGTGATTCTGGCTGGTGGACAGCAGCGGCAGGAGGCGGAGGAGCCCCGCTCTGCCCTAGGAGCCCCACTCTGCCCTAGGGTCCATCCCAGCCCAAGCTGGATATGAGAGCTAGGCACCCAAGGGACGCTGGGAAATGCTCTTCAGACATCAGCACATTTGGAACTCCCTCCTCATGACTCTTGTCCTACTGCCCTAAATGGCTTCATGCATCCCCACCCCCAATTCTGAAAGAAGAATGCAGAGACACTGGCCCTTGCTGAGGCCTGGGTTGTATGCTAGCTCAACAACTATGAGACAAGAAAGGGGACGGATAACAGGCAAGCCCAAAGTGTCACAAGGGCGGCGGGTGCTTTGAATACTGGATGGTGTCCAGGGCAGCCCCAATGTCGTAATTCTTAGTCTGCAGGAGCCTGGTGAGCCAGCCGCCCTCATCAGAGAAGCCCATGGACAGCATCTGGGAGAGCGACTCAATGAGCCGGGGGTCAGCTTCTGCCAGAGAGAGGAATAAAAGCCATGAGGCGGGGGATCGCTGAGCCTAAGTGAGACCCCTTATATTTATTGACATTGATACTTGGATTTCATCTATTATCACAAGCCGTAACCTTTTAAACAGCTATTATGACAGTAAGAGAATGGTTCTCGGCTATTGGCTATCCTTGGTCTTCCATGCTCTAAGGCAGAGAAAAGAGACACTGGGGTCCCAAGGGCCACACTGGCCACAGATGAGTTCTCCATTTGATAATATCTTCAACAGCATTGTGAGGTGACAGCCACAAACTGAGCAGAAGACCTGCTGCCTCTTCTATTCAATGCATGCTTGCTGGCTGCCACAGTCCCCACCTAGCCCTGTTGCCTCACACCACTTGTTCCCCATGGCGGCTTCCTGCCAGGCTCCCCCAGGAGCCTCAGCTGGGCCCTATCAGGTAGACACTCTCCATGAGGAAACAGTGATGGTGGACCGGAGTGCCAAAGTCAGTGCCACTGCCTCGTCCCATCTGCCTTCAGAATTGCGGGTTGAGCTATAGAAACTAAAACTAAAACTAGCTGTGCTCACAAGGGCTCAGCATATGCACACGAGGACAAAACCAACTCTTAATTTCCTCTCACATCAGCAGACAAGCCCCACTGTGAAGAACATGGTAACTTTCTGTGTTGCTAATGACAGGCAATAGGAGGCTCTGAGTAAAGGAAAAGAAACACAAAACTGCTTGAAATCACTTGCCTGGCGGCAGATGTGGGTACACGGCGGCTTCCTTTAGCCCTGTGGGTCCTTCCTGGGAAGGGTCCAGAGAGCTTGGTCCCTCCGAGCCAGGCATCTGCAGAGACTGGAGTTCGCCTGTGGACGGGTCCACCTCTTTTGAGGACAAGTGGGTCCAGTCGTCATCTCCTCCCGAGCAGTTATCCGACTCCATCTGCTCCTGGAACAGAGCCTGTGAGCACCCAGGCCCACCCAACCTGGCCTCCTCCCCTGGGAGAGCCCACGCTGGCTGGCGCAGAGCTGGAGGGGCCACAGAGGGACAAATGCCAGACTTCACTCTGTGCCAGGACCCTGCCCCAACTGGCTGGCTACACAAGTGTGGGCAGGGCCGAGGGTGGGGTGCTGGAACATGGGGCGGGGGGGCTTGCCTCAGGCTGTGTGCCCGACTGCAGGGCTATCTTGTCCATTTGTTCGGCCAGAGACTGCACGGGTCCTTCCACGACCCCGTCGGGTGTGCTGGGGCCTGAAGAGCTGCGCCTGCCCTCTGCACTGGCACTGCCTGCAGACGCTGGTGCGAGGCGGCTTCTCTTCCCTCCGTGTTCCACGTCAATATCCACCTCGATGCCTAGAAGCCCAGGAGAAAACAAGAACCCGCAGTCCTCAGAGGACGACCCTGCCCGCTTACCGAGCGCTTGTCTGTCAGTCCCCCAGCATGGAGGATGGGGATGCTGGTGTCCAATACTCAGGGTCGCAGCACCACAGGGGCAGCCAGGATGGAGCCTGCCAGCCAGAAGGCAGGTGGATGGTCCTCTTTGACCTTCAGGATCCTAAGGGCTAAACTCCTCCCAAAATCCTGGCCCCAAATCATCTTAGCTTCTAGAAAAACTCTTACTGCATCTTTTTCTTCCTCCAGCTTTTAAAAACATCAATCACAGCTGACACCCCAGGCCAATTACAGAGCCAGTACATCCAGAAAGAGGCCTTGTTTTCCCTAACTGTGCAGGACAGAGCTGCACAGTGGCAGGACCTGGCCCTGGGACCTGGTGGCTGAGTGCCTTGTGTGGCCAGAATGCCCCCATCCTGATGCTGAGGACCATAGGCAGTGCCACGCTGTGGGTAGGGCTGACCGAGACAAAAACCACGCGTACAAACACTGGAATTCTGAGTGGGCAGGACGGCCACCTCCAGCCCCACCCACTCCGGGCACACACTGGCAGGGGCAGCCCCTAGTGCTGTTTGTAATTCATTCCTCGAAGGACTGTCTGTCCACGCTCAGAGCCCCCAGCATAGCCTCCCCTGAGACAACTCTCACCGCCCCCACTGCTGCTTCCGTCCTAAGTGCTCATTTACTGTCTCTTCCTTCAGAAAAGCAACACTCAGCTCCCCTCCCTGTCTTTCCAAAAACTCAATTTTCGGTGAAAAAAAAATCTATATTACTGCCACTATCTATTGTTCTTTGCTGGACCTAGGCCTGGACTTGGGTCCTTATAGAGATTTTTTTTTGTAGCATTAATGATGTCCATTTTTTTTAACTTGCTGCCTTTGCCAATCCCTCCCCAACATGTTCTCCAAGTTTTCTACTCCAAGTCAGTGGACCAGATGCCCACTGGCTCTGGTTTCCCCCCCCGGAGGCCATCGCCCCGGGGCACCAGCCTCAGGCTCTGACCCAGCAGGCAGCTCTCCAGGCCAGAGGCAGTTCTGCAGGGAGCCCAGCTTCCCCCTCCTCATGGCAACTCCGTCTCCCTCCTGTGTGAGGTCCTGCTTGCAACCACCTATTTCTTCATTCTGGGTTTATTTCTTCATTTTGGCCACAGAAAGGTTTCAGGCTCACGTAAAAGAACCAATGCCTTTGCATACCAGACAACTCGGTGCTGCCCCCACACCTGACTATTTTAGCTGGGTTTATAAGTCTAGGTTGAAAGCCATTTTAGCCCAGACTCCTGAGGTGTTCAGGTCTCTCTTTATGCCAAAGGTTGACAGCTGGCAACGGTAAGCTTTGGTGTGGGGCCTGTTTTAGCCATTGTACAATGCACTCGGGGGTCCCTTTCAGTCTGGAGGTTACTTTCCTGACCTTGTATTCCTTGCTCGCATCCTCCCTTGGGTTTTCTCGTCCTCTCTCCCCCACTTCTGTTGTTTTGCTTTGGAATGTTTCTTTGAGATGAGTTTAAAATCTAAGTCTTCTTCTGAAGTTTCCTTTCTTCACTATTTTTTTTAATTTCCAAGAACTTTCTCATTCGGTTCCCTTATTCTTATACCGTTTTTTTCACGGCTACAAATACCTTTTCCCTCTCTCACGGAGGATGTTAACATTCTCTCTCCCCAGTTCCTCCTTTCTCATATTGGGAGGTTTTCCCGAACGGCTGGCGGCCCACGGCTGTCTGCCCCAGGGTGATACTAAGAAAAGGCTGACAGGAAGCACCTCCTTTGGGGCCAGGAGCTTCCACCAGCAAGTGACAAGTGACAACTTCTCCAACCCAGCCAGGCTTCAGAATCCCAGACGGCACAGCTGCAGGACTCGGCTCTGGCACATACAGCCTCTCCTGAGCAGAGGCTCCCCGGCTCCTGCTGAGCCCGCTCCTCATCATCACGGCCCCTAACTTCGGGCTGGTGCCTCCCCCTGCCCTATGTCCCTTTTGTCTCTACAGCTGAAGCTTCCCGGGACCAAGTGCTCCAGGTCTCCCTCAAGGGCCACTGCCTGGCTGAGCAGGGCCCTGAAGTCTCTGTGGGATGCTCACTGGGGTCTCCAACCCACCCCTGGTTCCCTGGCCTTCCTGGCTGGCGGCCGGCCTCGATTCTCAGCAGCAGCCTCAAGAGGAGTTAATACCCTCCACCCATAGCCCACCTTCCCAAGTTCAACGGCATCAGTTCCCCTTTCTCTTTTTCTACGTCGCTTTAAATTTTGTCATCCCTTTTGTATTGTTTTAGCAAAGTTGGAGGAGAAAGCAGAGAGAAGAGCAGGCTTAACTGCCAGTACCCTCATCTGCAATGCTTCAGTTATTTTTCTCCTTTCCTTTTCCCTCCAACTTTATCATGAAAGGCACAAACAGAAAACCTGGAACAATAGAATGAAACCGTGTACTTTCTCACTTTGTTATGTGGGTAAATGACACGACTCTTTTATAAATGGATCAGAGCTGATAGAACTAGGGCTCCTCCAACCTGACGATTAACTCAAGATTTTGGGGCTTACAAAACCGCACCACAGTCTGCACCCTGCTGCCCCCAGGGCCAGCCAGGGGCAGGGGGCAGGCTCCTGGAACACCTCAGGAGGAGGAAGGCCCTGCTGTTTTATGTCCAGGTGCAAGTGACTGACCTCGAGCAAGAATAGTTCTGGGCCTTGGTAGACCCAGTTCATACAGCAGCTATTCAAAAACAGCCTTGGGTTCTAGAGTCGCTGACTCCCTGCACACAGCCTGCCCTTTGGGAGGTGCTGCTGGCTCACCCCCGCCAGCCCTGCTCTGAGAACAGTACCTTCTGGGCAGTTAGCAGTGTGGGTCGCCCTTGCATTAGCTCCTCCTGAGAAAAGACCTGTAACTCCAACAGCAGAATATAATCACTTCCTCAGTAACTCAGTTCCTCCAATGACTCTCAACTAAAGCTACTCAAAGGCATATTTTCCTCAAACTTTCCTCCTTTTACAGGCTCCTCCCTAGTTGGCAGAAAGCAACTCTGCCCACTTTGAAAGATAGGGAAAGGCCTTTATCCTTCTCCCAAAAGCCTCTGAGCAGTTCCAAAATGGTGCCCAAGTGTCGAATGGGGAATCCTGGTCAAGTTCTGAAACCCACCATAAGTTCAGACAGTGTCATGATGGACAGCAAGTGGGACCCAGAGTCGCCTGGGAAGCCTTCAAAACACAGCACCCAGGCCCTCCCTAAGACCCACAAGCCAGCACCCAGAAGGCAGATGGGGCACCCGCGCTGTTGTCGGGTTCCCTCCCTGAACCCAGACTTGCTTTCGGGACTGCCCAGGGGGGATCTCATTCGTTCTTTCGGTGAAGGGCTGTTCTTCAGAGTGAGCCACTTTAACACAGTCTCCATTCACATGAACACAGATTTAGAAACAGAAAAGGAAAATGGCCTTGGCTCTGGCTGGGTGCTCATTCGGGGTGGGGACGGGGGGCGCCTTCCCCGGATGCCAGGATCGAGGGCTCAGTCCCCAGTCGAGGGCATAGGTAGGAATCAGCCAATGGAAGCAAAAGTGGAACAAACCTATGTGTGTGTGTCTCTCTGTCTCTAAACGTCAATTAATAAAAAACAGCCGCCGTTGGTGATTCTGACACCCAGTCAGCGTGAGAACCATGTGGACTTGCTGTCTTCCACAGGGCAGTTCACATGGCCCTTAGCCACAGCCCCCCTGGTGGAGGACCAGCTCTCAAAATCCCACTCACTCACCCTCACCGTGTCTTACACGAGTGGCAGACAGAGTGTAACACAGCTAATCTGAATATCACCTGACCATTGTTTTATGCTCCTTGGGAAGCATTAAGAATATCACTTGTTTTTTCTCATTCTCTCAAAAGCCTTATAACTCTAATAGAGAAACCATGGGTGGCCCTGGATGGTGTGGCTCAGGACTGAACACCGGCCTGCAAACCAAAGGGTCGCCAGTTCAATTCCCAGTCAGGACACATGCCTGGGTTGTGAACCAGGTCCCCAGTAGGGGATGCACAAGAGGCAACCACATATTGATGTTTCTCTCCCTCTCTTTCTCTCTCCCTAAAAATAAATAAAATCTTTAAAAAAATAATAAGAAATATAAATAAATAAATATTTAAAAATTTAAAAAACATGGGTGCTCTGAGCTGTTTCACAGAGCAGCAATGCCAAGAAACCACTGCTGCTTCAATGCACACCAGCCACAGGGCAGGAGGTGGGTGTGGTGCGGGTGCCCTCCTGTCAGCTTTCAGATACTGGAGACAGCTTCAGGATAGACAGGGTGGATACCACCTGCCATTGCCACCACAAAGACGAGTCCCTTCAAGTCTGAGGTCACAGGTCTGTGGTGGTCTGGGGCTAGAAGTCACCTTTTTAAACTGATTCTCACCACCACATGGCCCTCACCAACTGATCACCCGTACCCAGACCTATAGACGCAATGGGCACCTTCGAAAGCCTCAGAGGTCATGCCTGTCACACCGCTGTGGGGTACCTGCTGCAGGTCACGGACCCAGAGATCTGCTCTGAACCTGCACACTAGGAACAGGGCGTCACACAGAGCCCCTCCCCCATCGCTCCCTGCTCCCCGGCTCCAGCACACACTTGGTACTCAGGTAGCACCAGGAAAGGTTGAGAGTTACAAAAAAGAGGGAAGAAAAAAGAAAAGGCATCTCAACTCAGTGCTCACTCCCAGGAGGGAAAAATGAAGACTGTTCTTCCCCCAAAGGCCAGACAGGCAGAAGCCACCAGGCCGGCCTCCCTGCTGAGACCTCCAGCCAACGGCTGGCTCACTCTCCTGCATGCATGCAGAGAGCTCACAAGTCTGTCAGGGCAGCAGGCCTCCAGTGGCCTGTGGTGCCACACCTGGCAAAGGTCGACTCGAGGCCACCAATCCTTACCAGTCTCAAGGGCATCCCCATTCCTCTGAGCATCTCAGGGGAAAGCCACCAGCAGCCACTTGCACCCCGAGTTACCGAAAGGCCTTGCTGGCACCAGGGGACAGACAGGCAAGCACTCACCCAGGGGGCTGAGGGCAGCCGCCACACTCTCCCCTACGTTCTTGAGAAAGTTCACACTGGGATCCTCCGATGGACCTGAAGCTTTGAATTAAAAATGATGTTTAACTCAGAGAACGTTTCTCAATGACCTTGATACCTATTGCATTGCCATGACCTTCACCCCACATGTCCCCCATCCTGGGGGCCGTTCCTGACAGCTGCACCCCAGTGCTTCCTCTCCCTCCCACTCCAGGCCACCTCCTGGGCCTCCTCATCCCTCTGTCATCTGTGACCCCAGTGATCAGAACCCTGCAAGGGGCTCTCTACATGCAGTATAAAATATCAGCTACATCCCAGATACATTATTCTCTCAAAATCGAAGAAAAATCCTCACCTGTGTCCCAAAGGATGAGGCGAATCAAAGAACACAGTAAGAGTAATAAACCCAGAATCCAAAAATCTAGATGTGAGCTATGTGTAGTTTTAAACTGTGACTGTGTTTTTAAAGACCTAATTTGGCCTTGACTTTCCAAACAGCTAATGGCAAGAGAACACAGCACATTACAGAGACACAGGTGCTGGAGGCCAAGTCTAGATTTAGTGCAGGTGAATTAGTGGCCTTGGGCACTTAGGCAGTTATGCACTTTGTAAGACAAAGATAGTACCCCTCTCTGCAGGGTTTAGTGAGGATTAAATAACCTGAATGGCTGAGATGTCCCCAGCACAGCCCCGTAGCCCTCCCCGCGGGGCCCTGCCGAAGCCAGCAGACCCAGGCTCACCAGACTCTGCTGTGGGGCTGCAGCCGGCTTCCCCCGCCCGAGGAGGGCGAGGGCTCCAGTTCCCAGGGAGGCCCATTTCCCAGCCAGGCCATCCAAAGTGCCCGTGCTTCAGCTTCCGGAGCCAGCGGCTGTGAGAGAAGCCCTGGGGAGAAGGAAGCAGGGGGGCAGGCAGAGCTGGGTCAGGGAACTCCTACCACCCACACCCACCCTGGCCAGCAAGGAGGCCCGGTCACCTCAGAGAGAAGCCCCACAGGGCTGGGGAAGGCAAGCTTGCTGTGCTCGCGGTGCATGCCCTTCCCCTCACAGCTGGCGCAGAGGTCGTAGTCAGGGCAGACACTGCACTTGTACCGGGTCCCCACCACCGGGCCACTGCAGCCATCACAGACCACGTTGGGGTGCACCATGCTGCGGGGTGCCTCCTGCGCACACGGCGGGCGGTGGTCCCGCCGACACTCCTTCCTCTCTGTGGGAGAGACACGAAGTAGGGTCCCACAAAATCTCCCCCCTTGTCACTGCTGCGGGGCTGTCACCGCTGTCAGTTAGCAGGTCCCTGGTCCCGCTCTCCAGACCCTGAGTCCATGTGGAATTAGGCTGTTCAAGTGAGAGCAACAAAGCAACCTGCGAGCTTGCCAGAAGGTTCCTAGCCCCTGTGCATGACCTGGGCACGCAGAGCCCAGCAGGAGAGAAGCAGCAGGGAGCTGTCTATACAGCTTTGGTCTTGTCCTGCACTCAAAGGAACTCCACAGCTCTGCCCGGCAAGGCCCAGTGGGCTGAACGTTCAGGGCACATGCCTGGGTTGCAGAGTCAGTCCCTGGTTTGGGGAATACAAAAGGCAACTGATTGAGGTTTCTCTCCCTCTCTTTCTCCCTACCTTCCCTTCTCTCTAAAAATAAATAACACCTTAAATAAATAAAATTAACCCCAAGGTACCCCCCAAAGCTGCCCCCAGCCCATGGTACTTGGTCTGAACACAATCAAGAGGGAACCCAGAGACCCTCTGCCCCACCCACCATGGTGGGCACGGCCTCCTCACAGGCTGAGCCCAGCAATGATCCTGCCACTGTCCACATGGCCCAACGTGCTTCCCCTCTCTGCCAGCAGGGTTTCCCCATAACCTCCAGCCTGCCAGTTTTCCTGGTCAGCAGTACCCCAGGATAGCCCCTTACCTTTAATGTAAATGCGGAAGATGTCATCCTTCACATAGACCATCGCCATCATCAGTTCCTCATCACTGGAGAAGGCAACCAGGTCCCTGTCCTCGTCTAGGGTGTTTAGAAGACAGCACATGAGCACCTGGGGCCTCTCACCTGGACACAACTGCTGAACAGGGCCGAGGCTGGTGCTGAAAGGGGGCTTTGAGGGCTGTCACTGAAGCAGGACCGAGGCCAGACTGCCTGTTTACTCTTCCGCTGCCTGGAAGATGCATTCTGCACCCTGCAAGGCCGTGGGCATCTGACCAGGCCCAGGCCCATCTGGAACTGGGAGCAATCCCCACCTGTGACCGGCCATGGGAAACCAAGCCCCTCCAAAGGCCTCTTGTGGTTTAGGAGAGTAAACAGGGTGGATACATCTGCTTGCCTCCTCCCCCAAAAGGGGAGGCTCGATCTATGGATTTGTATGCTGCTTCCTGTTTGATGTTGACTCAAGTGCTTTCAGAGCCCCACAGCGCAGGCCAAACCACAGGTTCGTCTGCAGGCTGGGCCAACTGTGAAGGCCACCAGATGTGGCATGGCCCAAAAGAACAGGGACAGTGTCAAAAGATGAAAACAACGGTCAACTAATGAACAGATAAACAGGACATGGTATGTCCATACAACTGAATATGATCCAGCCACAAAAAAAAGGTTAAGCACTAAAAACTTAAATTAAAATAAAATTACAGCCCTGGCTGGCGTAGCTCAGTGGATTGAGTGCAGGCTGAGAACCAAAGTGTCGCAGGTTCGATTCCCAGTCAGGCCACATACCTGGGTTACAGGCCACGGCCCCCAGCAACCGCACACTGATGTTTCTCTCTCTTTCTCCCTCCCTTCCCTCTCTAAAAGTAAATAAATAAAATCTTTTAAAAATTGTTTACATAAATAAAAAATAAAATTACTAGTACCCTAAAAAAAGGAAGCACCGACACCTACTGTGACACAGGTGTAGCTGGAACAGCACGTTCTGTACAAGAAGCCAGTTATAGGAGACTACAGCTTGTATGTTTACATTCGCACGTTTACGTGGAACGTCCAGAATAGGGAAATCCAGGGAGAAAAAGAGTCGCTTATTGGTTGCCCCGGGTCGGGGGTGGGGTGGGGTAGGATGATGGCTGAAGCGCAGAGTTCCTTTACAAGGCAGAGACACGAACTTAACGACAATGCTAAAAGCTGTGCACTTAAAACGGGTGAACTGTATGGCATGTGGACTATAGCTCAGTAAAGTTGTTACAAAAATAACAACCAGGAACGGGCGGTGCTCGCGAGGGATGTCCCGGCACTACCCCGCCCAGGGGCCTGCCTCGAGTCTGCCTCCCTCCCTGCCACGCCACACCACACCTCCCTCCCCTCCCCCTCCCCTCCCCTCCCCTCCCTCCCCCTCCCCTCCCCTCCCCTCCCCTCCCTTCCCCTCCCTTCCCCTCTCAGCCACCAGTCAGGACACTGAGCTAGTTCCTGGACTGCTGGCTCACGCCACCGCTTCTGAAGGTTTTGATCTGGTCCCTCTGCCCACTACCAGTGCAATGACGTCTGGACTCAGCCTGGCCTGGGCGTACTGCAGTCTGTCCCTGACCGCTCCTTCTTCAGCCGCCCGGGGCCGCACGGCCCCGAGTCCCCTGCACCCCCGCCCTTGTTTACCCGCGTCACCGCTCCTTCCAGCTGGCCCAGGCTCTCCGGGACACGGTCTCAACCCCCCACCGCCAGCACTAGCAGGCCCAGACTCGACAGCAGCAAGATGTCAGTGTAACCTGAGTGCCTGCCTGACCACCCAGCGCCCGCTGCCAGCCGGCAGGACGCTCCAGCGCTCCCTCGCCAAGATCTGCAACATCATGGCGGGGGGAGGGGAGGCCTCTTCCGCCCCAGGCCTGAGACCCGCCGGGAGAGCCTGACAGTGCCTGGTCCCGCAAGAGTCACCACTCTTGGTCACTAGGCTGGCACCTGAGGTTGCACTGGGGACCCACGCGGGCCTCCGCCCACCCAGGGTGCGGCCAGGGCAGACCCCCACAGACGTCACCAAGCCTGTCCAGAGGGAACAGGCAGCCACCAGCCCGCAGGCAGGCCTGCTTCAGGGCCCCGCGCCGCTCCCAAGGGTGCCCTACACACTCACCGCGGTAGTGCGCCTGGAAGCTGCCCGGACGCAGCGCCGGGAACAGGGCGGCCACCCGGCTCAACAGCCGCTCGCAGGGTCCCGGGCCCGCCGCAGCCTCGGCCTCCGCCTCGGGCTCGGCGCTGAAGCAGAAGCTGAAGCGGCGGATCTCGCGGGCCGCATCCTCCTTGCCCAAAAGGTATGCCTTCACGGTGAGCGACGCCATTGCCTTAAATCGAGGAGCTGCAGTGGCGCCGGATAGCTGGCAGCCGATGGGCGAAAGGCTTTTGTAAGGGACGCCGGAAGCCTGACCCCGCCCCCTAGGGCGGGGTCTCGCGCCTGGTCCCTCCCCCAACGATCGTGCTGCGGCGCGAGAGCCGCCCTGCCGCGGCCCTACGCGTGGAGCCCCTTCCGGGCCGCCACCCATGCCATTTGCTCGTGGTCTCCCCGGCCCCCTGGTCTCCGACCCAGCTCCTCACTGCCCCCGGTGCACCGGAGACCCAAAAGGGCGCCCCACACTGCGACATGTAAATCTGGACTCGGGCCTCTGCCCCTGGAGGAGAGGACGCGCAGTGGTCCCGCCACAGGCCCGGACCTAGCCGCGACTCCTCGGGGCAGAACCGCAGGGTTCCCCACGCAGGAGGGAGGGGGGCAACAGAAGCCCGAAGTCAGGAGGGTCCTAGGTGTCCGGCGGGCACCGCCGACCAGAACAAACTGGCTCCTGAGGCGCTGCCCCTGCTCGGCTGCTCTAGACAGCCCCTGCCGCAAGAAGCAGTCGGCGACCCTGGCGGCTGCCCACTCAACTTCGCCCCCCCTCCCCCGCGCCTTCTCCAGGATGCTGAGAGGCGCGCCCCGCAGCAGGCCCGCTCCCGGAGAGGTCCCTGTTTCCTAGGAGATCGGGCTTGCGGGGGGGGCGCTGAATACGCACTGGCACCCCACCCCCACCCAGCGGGAGGCCAGCTGAGGCCTCGGTCGCTACCAAGTGTGTATGGCGGCCGAAGGCCCTCCCCGTGGGATCCCACGTATCAGCAAGGGGGTTCCGCTCAGCAGGTGGTGCCCAAGGACCTTGGGGGGGGGTGGGTTCAGGTCTGTTGGCTTCGTGGGCAGCCCACCGGTCAGACCAACCGCCTTACAGTAGGATCCAAGAAGTCATTACGTGACAAAAGTGACCTGTTCACCAGGCCTGGAGGAAAGGGGCCTGAAAGGAGAGGAGGGGGAAGAGTAGTCGTTCTGTGAAGCTTCCCAGGCGGAGTCTTGTGAGCAGAAGCCCAAGCCTGCTGAGTCAGAGTCAGGGTGGGAGCAGGGAAACCCCTGAGTCAGGTTTGCAGGGACTGCCCAGGGGAGCCCGTCCGGGGCCTGTCCACGGTTGTGGCTGCTTCCCAGAGCGTTCTGTTCCAGACAGGCAACGCTGTGCGTTGTCCCCTGCTCCCAGCATTCCTGTGGAGGCAGGCCCTCCCTGCCGCCCTACTGTGAGCCTGGGAAAGTGACCCTCCACCCACGGCTGTGCAGACGGGCTAGGGACGGAGAAGGGGCCGTGTTGGGCAGAGGTTGCACTGTCCACAGGTGCCTGAGGATGTGACTCAGCAGCACAGGGGCACCTCGAGCTCCTGGAGACTGGGCAAGAGCCTGGCTTCCCACTTGCAGTGCCCCAGTGTCCAGGTTGAGTGGGCAGAGGGAACACAAGGAAAGCCCTGTGATCCATGGCACCCGGTTTCAGGAAGGGCTCGAGGAGCTGCCCATCCAAACATTTGATGAACAGGCTGCCCGCAGGACCCGCTGGATTTGGCAATGTCTGGGACGGTGGGGGTTGCAGAGAGGGGTGGAGAACTCAGGGGGAAACAGTATGTCAGGAAGGGCCTCTGCTGGGAGGCTGGCCTGGAGACTCTTGCCCAGCCGACCCCCGATCCCCAGCTGTGGTTTTCCCAGCATGCCCAGCTGGGAGTACAAGTCCGTCCCTTGCCCTCCCCCATGGCCAGGAGAGGTAAACAAGGCGGCCTGCCGCAGGGGAACCCCCTGGCGGGGCCCTCTCAGCCAGCCTAGGCCTGGTCAGGTGGTCAGGCGGCAGTGAGTCAGCGTCCCATGACTAGCTGTCACAACAGGGGGATTCCCCAGCCCCTATGCCGCCAACCTGATAACATCTCACCAGGGAGCCAGGCGGCAGGCATAGGGAGCACCTGTGGGTGTCTGGGGGCCTGGGGAGCAGAAACAGCCAGCAGACACCAGGGTAGCAGGGAGCTGGCATGATGGACGCCAGACTCGACCTGTCTGTCTCTTCTGCGTTCCCCTTCTGATATCTGCTGTGGTTCCCCTAACCCTGGGCTGCAGGGAGTCCCCCCAACCTCCACTGGGCCCATTGGCCCCTCCTCCCCTTCCAGGTCGTGGCATGCACGCTTAGAGGTTGGGGGGATGGGGGTGGGAAGCTTGGTACCTGAATCCGGTCAACTGTCCACCACCATGCTGTCTTTGGGCAAATGACCAGCTTCAGTTTCCTTGTCTTTGAGTGGGGCTGGTGTAGAACTGAGACAGGATAGTGAGGAGCTAGGAAAATTCCTGGAGAAGTGGAATGGGAAACTAAGACCAAATAAACAACAAAACTAAACAAAACCTAACACACACACACAAAAAAACTGAGACAAGAAAATTGAACAAGGCCAGTTTAAGCAATGTACAGCCAGCTGGTGAATCACAAGACCTTATCTCCTCTGACCAAGGACACTTGAGAGCAAATGGTTTACACCTCTCCTCCCTGACCAGAGAAGGCAAGCCTCACTGACCATGAACCACAGGTGTCCCGGGAAGAGAGGAATGCCAAGGCAAATGGACAGATAACACAGGAACAGAGGGAGCCAGTTTGGGAAGAAGGTTCGTGACTCCTGTCAACACCCCGCCTCCCACTAGAACCAGCTTGTCTGCATATCTGGGCTTCCCCTAGGAATTCCCCCCTCCCAAATTCCCACCTTTCCCCTATATAAACTTGCTTTTACAGGTTCAAGGGAAGGCAGTCTGTGAGGCCACCATCTTCTCAGATCACCGGCCATCTGAATAAAGCGCCCATAAAGATCTGATCCCTGTCTCTGCTTATTGATTCTGATAGTGACAGGCTCGCCAATGCCAGCTTTTCCAGTTTCAGAATAACCTTGAGTGCCCCCTCCCAGGTTATGCTCCCTAGGTGTGCTAGTTGCTGCCTTTGGGGGTATCAGCTTGGGGGGTGGGAATGTCAGAAAGGAGACTGCAGCCAAGGTGGAGGTGAAAGAGTGGGGAGCCAGGAAGAGACCCAAGTGGAGAGTTTCCAGGGTACTCAGGGAGCAGGGGTGGCAGGAGTTCACATGATTTGGTTTATTGCTGTCCGGTGCGTTGTAACCACCTCCTCATTTCCCCTTCCCCTCTTCAAAAAATAATCCCATCCCTGGGTAATGATTTACTGAAGATCCATGCTTGGCTTATGGAGCCAAGCCTAGAGGTGGGTGCTGGGCCAGCAGGCGACAGGCCACTGTACTGAGGATTACAGGAATCAAGCTCCTTCAGACCCCAGGCCCAAGGGATAGTTCATTCTACATGGGGGCACAGGATCATGGGTAGGGTGGCCTCCAGGTCACACTGAGCCAGGATGGGATTCCACTTCCTCACTCCCTCACCCCTGAGGGATGTGCCCCCTGCTCAGTTTCTAAACATCCCAGCTGGTGAGTTTCTCCTGGCTCCTCCTGCCAGGAGCCTTTTCCCACGGCTTCCCCCTCGGGAAAATCCCCAGGCAATGTCTATCACCTCCTTTAAGCCATTCCTGCAAATGCCTACAGCCTAGCCAAGCGGTGCCAGGGCTATGGTGGGGGGTGGGGTGTTTTTAAAGAAAAGTGGTTCAAGTCATCCAGGAACGGAAGCCAGGAAGAGACATGGATAGAGAGTCAGGTAATACCAAGTTGTGAGGCCTCCTGGGCGGCAGCTGGAGGCTGGGAGCTCCCTTCGGAGCTCCACTGCCCGCACTAGGCCAGGAGATGGACCGCCAGAGTCCTCCTGAGGGCGCTCAGGGCCTCTGAACAGCAGATCGTCAACAGCCTGCGCCCTGGGCAGTGGCAAGGGCGACACCCAGTGGGGGAAGGGAAATAGGTGGGGCCAGGTGCAGGGCCCTGTCTGTAAACGCACGTCACAAAGCCCTGTGCCCAAGGTAGGCAGGGACACTCAGCCTACCTGATGAGCCACGCTAGGGGCCCCTTCTGCCCAGTCCCCAGCCCTGCTCTCCCTTCCTGGAAAACGCCTGCAGCCCATAGGAAGTGGCTGGGGCTCAGGCCGAAGTAAACAGGGTCCCTCACAAGGCGTAAGGGTGGGGGCCCTAAGAGACCACGCTGCAACCCAGGGCAGAGCTAGGTGCCTGGGCCTGGCAGACTGGGCAACAGCAGCTCTAGGCGATGGGGAAGAGGAGGGGTGGGAGGATGGTGGGGGTGGGGGGTGGGGGGTGAGGGAGGTAGCACCCATTGGGGCAGGCTCCCAAACTGGCCAGTACAGCAGAGAGGTCAGTGTGACACTCCCCAGGGAGCGCATGTCCCAGGCTGAGCAGTAAGAGGGTAGCTTTTCCCACACCCCAGCTCTCCCTCGACTAGGAGTTCGGGGTCACATGGACAGGGCAGCTGCTGAGGGTCAGGCTCAGGGCTCTGTCCCCCCTCTCCTCCTCCTCCCATCAAAATCCTTCTGGAAAAGTTCTATGGCTTTCACCAAGCTCTCTCCAGTGCCAGACCTGACTCCCCTTCTCTCAATCGGCCCTCTGGCCTAGACTAAGCTCCCGCATATCCCTGTATGCCCCAGGGCTGTGGGCACCCCGTTTACTCAGCCTGAGTTCCTCACCTGGAGCATGGGGAGCTCAGGTAGCATGTTTGGGGAGGGGGGCTTGGGGGTCATGTCCCCAGTGCATGTCCCCTACCCTGTAATCCTGACATTCGGGCAGGACAGCAAGGGGCCCTCCTTGCAGAAGTCCACTGCGGTGCCAGGCTACCAAACCACCAAGGCTCTTCAGGGCTGCCCTGTGGGGTTGTGGGCTTTCAGGTGCTTGACTGTGGGACAATGGGTGCAGCCAGGCTGAAGGGAGGTCTGGGAAGGCCCTGACAGCTGAGGCTGGGTCCTCAGCACCCTGCTCTGCCTGGCACCCAGGGTGGTTTCCAGCAGTTACCCTCTGGCAGGCCCTGAGCAGAGAGAAAATAGGGCTGGAGGCCAGACTCAAAAATTGGCAGGGTGGCCACCCCTGCAACCTTGTTAAAGGGATGTGCCAGGGAAGCTGGCATTTACTGAGAAGGGCACAGTCCTCCATGCCCCAACCACCACACTCTGCTCTGCGGTTCCCCCAGACAGTTCTGGTGAGGGAAGGGGTTTAAGCCTCCCTGGCTGCAGTTCCTAGATTTGCTACACATTCCCCATTCCCATAATCACCCTGCTCAATTTCCATCTCTTTTCTGGATGGAAATTTTCCTTTGGGGATACATTTGTCCCCTACCATTGTGGGTAGGGTGGGGCAGGCACATGACCTGGGTTTGGCCAACCACAGCCTTGCAGCCCACTGAGTCAGGGATGCACCTCACCTGTAACCCAAGCTGGCGGATGAAATGCCCACCGGGGCCACCTGAAAGCTGGAGTCTGCCCGAGAGCCAGGCCCACACTGAGCAGGAGACCTGGGCCTGACCTCAGCACCTGAGCTCCTGGGTCCTGGCAGGCCTGAGGCTGCATCATGAGAGGGCTTCAGCCAGCTACTTTGGGTCTAGGTCAGTTAAACCCAAGAGTACTGAACCACTGCTTGCCCACCCACCATGCCTGCCCCAGGGTCCCAGTGGCGGTGTTGGTTACCAGAACACAGGCCAGAAGCGTGGGGTCAGCTGTTCCAGCATGTCCCCCAGTTCCAGTTGGTTATACATTCCAGTAATAATAGCAATAACATTCAAGTAGTGCTTCCCTTATGCCAGGAAGTCTTCTGAATATTTCATATATGTTAACTGACTTGCTTTCTTGAGGTGAGACCATGTGATTCCGGCCAAGGACTGGAGACAGAAGAGCCACTTGTCGCTGAGAGGCCCGAGCACTTATTCACTTGCCAATGCTGGAGCTGCTGGAGCTCTCTTTCCCTTTGCCAGTGAAGCTTTCAATGTTCGGGTGGTTAATCCCACAGCCTGGGCTGGTCCCATGAGCACAGCCCCTGGGGACCCTTGAGAGATGCACAGCTGTGAGAAAGATGCCTTTATTACATCATAGAAGTTTGGGGTGACTACGGCAGTCTAAGGAGCCTGTTCTGATGGATAATTCTCCCCACCTTACCCCCTGGGGAGTGGGCTGGAACAGATTAACTGGCGCAATGTCACTCGGCTAGGTCACATGGGGGCGGAGCCGCAACTGTGAGCCCGGGCAGGCTGTCTTGTCTTTCCAGTCTGTGCTCTTTTATTTTTCTTTTTAAAGGTTTTATTTATTTAATTTTAAAGAAGCAAAGGGAAGGAGGAAGAGAGGGAGAGAAACATCAATGTGAGAGAGAAACATCGATTGGTTGCCTCTTGAACACGACCTGACCAGGAACCAAAACTGCAACTAGGCAAGTGCCCGGACAGGGAATTGAACCGGTGACTTTTCACTTCGAGGACCTACGCCCAGTCAGGGTTTAGTCCATGCTCTTGACCTCAGTGATATACAGTCTCCTTAAGCTTGTCCCAAACCCATCCTGTCATCTCTAACTTCGCTCCCCATTCTGGGCCATCTCTCTCCTGTGTGAAGGCAGAAAGACCTTTCCTCTGCCCTCTTGTGTTCAGTAGTTGGGGACTGTGAATTACACTGACATAAGACAGATTAACAAGACCAAAAAAGGATTTTTAAAAAATATATTTTATTGATTATGCTATTACAGTTGTCCCATTACCCACCCCCTTATTCCCCTCCACCCGACACAGCCCCTCCCACCCACATTCCCCGCCTTTAGTTCATGTCCATGTGTCATAAGTTCTTTAGCTTCTACATTTCCCATACAATTCTTGCCCTCCCCCTGTCTATTTTCTACCTACAATCTATGCTACTTATTCTCTATAACTTTTTCCCTTCTCCTCCCACTCCCCTCTTGCTAACTCTCCATGTAATCTCCATTTCTGTGGTTCTGTTCCTATTCTGGTTGTTTGCTTAGTTTGTTTTTGCTTTTGTTTTTGTTTTAGGTATGGTTGTTAATTGTGAGTTTGCTGTCATTTTACTATATATGTTTTTTATCTTCTTTTTCTTAGATAAGTCCCTTTAATATTTCATAAAATAGGGGCTTGGTGATGATGAACTCTTTTAACTTGGCCTTATCTGAGAAGCACTTTATCTGCCCTTCCATTCTAATGAAAGCTTTGCTGGGTAGAGTAATCTTGGATATACGTCCTTGCCTTTCAGGACTTGGAATACTTCTTTCCAGCCCCTTCTTGCCTGCAAGGTGTCTTTTGAGAAATCAGCTGACAGTCTGATGGGAACTCCTTTGTAGGTGACTGTCCCCTTATCTCTTGCTGTTTCTAGGATTCTCTCCTTCATTTTGACCTTGGCTAATGTAATTATGACGTGCCTTGGTGTGTTCCTCCTTGGCTCCAATTTCTTTGGTACTCTCTGAGCTTCCTGGACTTCCTGGAAGTCTATTTCCTTTGCCAGATTGGGGAAGTTCTCTTTCATTATTTGTTCAAATAAGTTTTCAATTTCTTGCTCTTCCTCTTCTCCTTCTGGTACCCCTGTAATTCAGATGTTGGAATGTTTAATGATGTCCTGGAGATTCCTAAGCCTCTCCTCATTTTTTTGAATTCTTGTTTCTTCATTCTTTTCTGATTGTATGTTGTTTTCTTCCTTCTGGTCTACTCCATTGATTTGAGACCCAGTTTTCTTCCCATCCCTGTTGGTTCCCTGTGCATTTTTCTTCATTTCACTTATTGTAGCCTTCATTTTTAAATCTAATTTGTTACCAAATTCAACCAATTCTGCATCCTGATCAACAGTGTTTTGAACTGTGCATCTGATAAGTTGGCTATCTCTTAGTCGCTTAGTTGTATTATTTCTGGAACTTTGATCTGTTCTTCCGTTTGGGCCATTTTTTTTTTTTTTTGGTCTTGTCACACCTGTTATTTATGAGGGGTGGAGCCTTAGGTATTTCACCAAGGCGGGTCAACCCGGTGGCTGGGTTGTGACTTTGTATGTGGGGCGGGGTCCAAGAGGGAACAATGGCACTTGCTCTGCTCTCCTTTCGAACTTAGTCCCTTCGACTGCTTCCCCCAAGCAAACTGGGCCTTTCTGGTGCTGGTTGCTCTGTGGGTGGGCTTGTGCACATTCTAGGACCTGGTGGGTCTCTCCAGCAACCTCTCCTGTGAGGCTGGGAGTCTCTCCCTGCACCTCAACCCCCACAGGTGTTTTCAATCAGTGCCCTGAGGCTCTATTTCCTGGTGCAGGGACCCTGGGACCGCCTGGTCAGCCAGCCTCCTTGCACTCAGTGCCTTGTTTCACAATCACTGCCTCACTGGGTCTGGCCGTTGCCACCCCGGGCCCAGGGTCTGCCAGCCCACCGCCTGCATGCCCAGGGTCCTTCTGCTACGGTCTTGCATGCCCGGGGTGCCTTAGGCCAGTCCCACTGCTCTTTGTGCCTTGACCCCTCTCCGCCCGACTACCCGACTCCACCCCTCCTAATGGTCTGGATGAACGTGTCTGTTTTAACTCCTTGGTTGTCCAACTTCCATACAGTTCAATTATCTATCAGTTCTGGTTGTTATTCTATTTCTAAATTATTGTTGTCCCTATTTTGGTTGTGTGAGGAGGCACAGTGTGTCTACCCTACGCCTCCATCTTGGCTGGAAGTCCCGAAAAAGGATTTTTATTCAAGTACTAGGCAGTTAGAATTTGGAGGCTTAAATACCAACTTAATAGGGGAAGCAGGGATAGGATAGGGTGGATAGCACTGTGATGGCCCTGAGTTTATGGGGTGATCAGATCAATCTCCCTGGTTGCTCCTGGTGAAGGGTTTGGAACAATTGAATCGTTACGGGGGAAAAAGCCTATTTTCTAATGCTTTCCGCTCAAAATAATTTTCATGCCAGAGGTTTATTCTGAACTCTTGTCCCTACGAGAGCTCCTGGCTGGTCTCCCTGCTTCCTCTCTTACTTTCTCCCTTCTCTGTGCCCAAGTTATCATTCCAAAATGCAAATTGACTGCATGGACCCCAGGGCACCCCCCACTCTTCTTGCTTTTACCCATAGCCCCAAGGGTATGAACCCAAAGCACTGATAAGGTGTGCGAGGCACTGGTGCTCTGCCCTGTCCCATCGGCGGGCCGCTGGCACCCCTCTCACTGAGCTCTGCCCCGGCTGGCCTGGGGGTTCCTTCAACATACACATCTGCATATGCTGAACCACCAGCCACCTTTTCCAGGCAACCCCACCTCTCCCCTGGGTCAGACTGCTAACCTCATTTTCTCAGGGAGGCCTCTATCCTCTAGGGGGAGCTTTCTGAGCCCCATGGACCTTGTTATGAGTGAACAGGAGGAGGAGGCATCCAAGGAAAGAAGGGCCAGCAGAGAGATAAGGCCAGGCAGAACTTCCAGACTGTCTGTGTAAGAGACACCTCAGCATGGGGAAAAGATGAAGGACTCCTGCTTAGAAATGTTTTATGTTATTTAAAGATTTTTAAATTTTTTTTTAGAGAGAGGAAGGGAGAAAGAAAGGGGGAGAAACATCAATGTGTAGTTGCCTCTCACGCACCCCCTACTGGGGACCTGGATGGCAACCCAGGCATGTGCCCTGACTGGGAATTGAACCCTCGACCCTTTGGTTTGCAGGCTGGCACTCAATCCACTGAGCCACACCAGCCATAGGGCAGAACCATAAAATATGGCAGAACCATATTTTAAGATGCATAAAATATAGTGCATTACAAAAGGACTGCTAATATTGAAATGCAAATACCAAGTTACAAAAACACACACCAAGTTATGATATAGAAATAGCTGTGATTCTTTATTAACTCATCACATTACAAGATGTAGAGGTAGGACCGGTCAGCACTGGCAACACCAGGGCGCAGTGGCTGCAGCACCTGCAGCGGGGTGGAAACCCGGGAGATTGCCATGTGACAGCCCCAAGCACTGCGAATTCTGCTGGACTTTGCTGCCTCCATTCACAACTCAAGAAAATGCCAAGTTTCAGTTAGAGGTTAGAAAAAAATAAAGATGGATTTTCTTCTGTCTTTGCTCGTCTCAGCTCTTAGACCTCCCCAACACTGGATCCCTAGGCCATAGGTTAAGAAGCCCCGTGAGGAAGGATGGAAGGAGCAGCCACCTCTGGAGGCTGTCCCAGAAAATCTCCAGAGCAGCGTGGGCTGAGGGCTGGCTTGGAATTCCAACTCAAAGGCATTTTCCCTTTGTGGGAAGCAAGAAGAACAAAGGGGACAAGGCCACAGCCTGGTCGGGAGAGAAAGCAGGACTTTCTACACCCGTCTGGCCAGTGTCATTGTCTCCAGCAAAGAAGGTGAACTCTTGGGTGAGGGGGCATCCCATCCTGGGTGGCAGGAGGGCAGGCAAAGCTCACCTGCCTAGAAGTGCCAGAGGGAGTTGAGGTGGAAGCAGACCCCAAGGAATGCATTGCAGTAAGGGCACAGAGAGCTGTGGAAAACTGGCCAGGAGCCAGCCAACTGTTGCAAAGGCTACAGCTGGGAGTGCAGAGGCTTTGGGGAGGGGTCGCAGGGCCTGATGCATGCCTGCGGTGGGCCTTCCCTCACTGCGTTGCTACTTATGCAGGCCCTGGGGGCCAGGGTCCCCTAGGCTTCTGCTCACTCCACAACCATCTTCTCCAGCCCCTCCTGGTAGCAGCACCACACTGTCCTTCTTGCCCTCGGTGTACAGTACTGGCAGGACAGGCAAGCCTGGTGCTGACCCATTCTCAGCCCAGTGGCGAGCGCCTGCCCCTAAGTGGTGTATGGCCCAGAGGACCCCCTCCTGGTATTCTGCTGGGGCAGTGGGGAGGAAACAGCAGGGCTGGGGGAATCGGAAAGACTGTCCTCGGTCTCTATCGCCTGAACGCCATGGTTGCCCAAACTCAGCCACCAGTTTTGGAGTGTGACCCCCTCCAGGCGACTCACCCTGGCCCCTCTCCCATCACTCCGGACCTGACTGCCCCCTTCCCCAACCCTGGCCCACAGAAGTCCCATTCCTGACAAAGGCCTTGCAGTCTCTAGGGGTCGGGGCAGAATGCCACCCCCCTTCTGAGTCATCCCCCCAGCCCCCTCCCTGCTCCTCCTGTTCCAAAGCCAAAGTGTGGAGGGGAGAGGTGAGCTTCCCGAACTTTAGTTACTGACAGGCCATGTCCTTAATTTTTACTGGTTCAATTTCCTTAAATCAACTCATTTTAAGCTTCAACACACATTAAAATAAATAAGTAAATAAACCTTTTGTATCACAGCCCAAATGAAAGTTCTTATCCCTTGCTACAAATAGAAGGTGAAAACTGAGGCACTTGGAATAAGCCAGTTTCCTCCAGAAGGCTCCGCAATGCCAGTCTCAGCCTGTCCAGTTCATCAGCAAGTTGGGCGAGCAGCACTGCTTTCCCAGTACTGGCATCCTGCCTGTGGGAAAACAGAGGCGGGTCACTGAATCAGGCCCCAGCGCCAGTCCCCCTCAGCCACTGGCCCTGCCTTACTGCTCCTGGCATAAGTCTCTCTGCAGAGGCAAATGCCCAGGCCCTACCTGCTCCCAGGCTTCCATCTTGCCCCAGGTGTGGGCCTGGGCTGAAAGCAAAAGACAAATGCCCAGCATCTTCCAGTCTGAACCCTTCCCCAAAAGCCCTCCCCTCCACCCCCACCGCCGGCCCCAGGGCCCTCAGGGCCACTGCAGCCAGGGCCAGGACCCAGGACTACTACAAGCAATGGCTCAGAGGCCCCCAGTGCACCCGAGCCTGTGTTGAACTAATCCCTTTATGGTTTGTCCCCTTCCCAGTTCCACAGAGGACTGGGGAAAGCCCGAGTTGGCACACGAATGAAAGTGTAAGTGAGCGCCATGCCGTGAAGGGAGAGGAGGAGCTGGACCGCTGGGGGCCCCCGGAGGCGGTCGTACCAGCTTCCAGCCCCCCTGCACCTGGCACCTGGAAGGCCAGCCACTGTGCCCATCGCCTACATAGGTCAGCCCCCTTACTCCTGAAAACATCCCACTGTCCCTATTTTATGAAGGAGGAGCATCTTCTGTCCCCAACATGCCTTTATCCCGCCGATTAGAGAAAGGTCCTGGGAAGGGAGGTAGCCATGGGTGTCGGTGCAGGCAGGGCCACTAGGCCCAGTCCCCTGGCGGGAGGCCGCACCAGCTCCAGCCATACCTTCCCCCTCCCAACGCCCAGACCCTCCTCAGACCTGGGGGAGAAGCCTGGGGATCCCCGAGTAAACGGGAGTCGGATCGGATTGGGTGGGATGCCGTGGGGTTCAGGTTATGGGGACGAGGGCGCGCTGCCTGCCCTTCAGCGGGTGCGCCGCATTCGCGAAGGCACCGCCTAGTCCCACCGAAGGCCGGACCCAGAGCGGTTCGGCGAGCTCAAACAGCGGCCGCTGTCGCCAGCCGGGCGCGGCTCCGCACCCCGCCTCCTCGCAGGGCTTGCGGCGGCGGCGGCGGCGGCGGCGGGTGCTGCGGCCCCTTTAAATCCGGGCCGCCCCGCCCTGCGCCGCCGACTCCGCGGCGGCCCCGGATCCAGGCCGGGCCGCGGCTCTCGCCGCTCAGTCCAGCCCAGCCGAGCCCGGCCTGGCCCAACGGCGGAGGAAGGCCCTAAGCCCGCGCCCCGCGCCCCGGAGTAGCCGTTCCCGGCCCCGCCCGGCCCGGGGCCCCGCCCTGCCCCGCCCCGGGGCCGGGGCCCCCGCGGCCCCCCGCGGCCCCGCACCCCGCGCCCCGGCCCCGGCTTCCCGGGCCATGCGGCCTCGGCCCCGCCGGCGCCCGCCGCGCACCGGAGGAGATGAGGCTCCGCAATGGCACCTTCCTGACGCTGCTGCTGCTCTGCCTGTGCGCCTTCCTCTCGCTCTCCTGGTACGCGGCCCTCGGCGGCCAGAAAGGTGAGCTCTCTGCGCCCCGCGACTCGTCTCGCACCTGGTCGCACCTGGGCGCCCGCGGCCGAGCGGGTCCGGGCAGTGGCCTCCGGAGGCGGCCGGAAGCCGACGCGGGCGCCCTTCCCCGCCCGGCGGCGCGGGAGGACGCCCCTCCCATCCTCGCCCCCACTTGTTTGCTGCCGGAATAACGAAATTCTCTTCTGGCCCGCGTTGGGCCGCGGGGCCGGGGCATCGCAGGGGCCCCCCATGAGGCGCTGGGACCCGCCTCCATGAGTACAGTTACGCCCATGCTAGGGGTGGTCGCTCCCACTGAGTAGCTGGGGACCTAGGAATTCTCAGAGAGGGACAGAGATACAAGGTCACAGCGGTGGTTGTGCCAGGTGGTTCCTAAGGTACCAGCTCCAGGCACCTGGGCAGGAATAGATATTGTGCTCATGAGACAGGTGTAAGGGGACAGCCAGACACCCAGGCAGTGACCCTCTACCCCAGCCCACACCACCCTTCACCCCAGCCCACTGCCTAGCACTCCCTGGGGCATCCGCAGCCTTCCACGACATTCGCTGCCGGGAACTGCCCCACAGGGCCCTCCCGGGTGCTGGGCCAGACGGCCCAGAGGTGCACAGAGGGCCTCACATGCCCTAGCCACTCCTAGCTGCTGCTGCCCGTTAACTCACTTTGTGTGGTGTCATGGTTTGGTCAAGCTGGCCACTCCACCCCTCAGGCCCTCTGACTGGCCAGCACACTTGGGGGAAGCAGGTGGGGGAGACAGGCTGTAGTCACTTGGTGTTGGCTGGGGTGGCTAGGGCCACATTGGAGGCATGGGGAAAAGCTGCTTCCTTCCTGCCTCCTGGCCTTCCTGCAGAAGACCCAAGCAGGATCAGGCTGAGGCCAGCAGACCCTCTGCCTCCCTCCTACCTCCTGCTTCCCTGTCCCCTATGGGAGGCTGGAGGGGGAAGGCTGGCGGAGGAGCTAGAGCCTTCCTGACCCTCCAAGCCCCAACAGCCCCCACCTGCTCCTGCCCGCCCAGCCTAGCCTAGCCTAGCACAGCCCTCCCGTTTGGGCGGAGGCCAGGGCTTGGCACAGGAAGGCCTTGCCTGGGGCAGAGTTCCCCGTAGGTCTCTAGGTGGGGGTGTTATCTGGAGGAGGGCACTTTAAACCCTTGGAAAAGTGTCTGTGCAAGCAGAGTGGCCCCAGGTGGGGCTGCATCTGACAATGAGTGGGGTGATGAGCCCCTGCACCCCATCCTTGGCCGGGGTGCAGTTTCCCTGGGCCTCCTGCAGCAGCCTCGGGCCCTCTGCCTGATATCAGGACTGTAGCACAAACCCCACCAAGACACCTTCTTTGGAGGCCTGGGCGGCACAGGGGAGCCAGTGTCCAGAACAGTGGAGTGAGGGGACTCCAGGGGCTCCATTTAGGGCCCACTATCCCTGAAGGGGGGCATCAAGGAGACTGGTACTCTGAGGGGCTGTGGAATACGAGAGCACCCTCAGCCAAAGAATTATGGAGCTCAGGTGCATGGTTCCTGGTCCCTGGGCATGCCCAGGAGCCTGAGGTGTGGGGAGGGGTGCCGCTATTTCAGGGGGCCCAGCAGGGCCAGATCTTTGGCGGCCTCAAGAGAAAGCCTGAACCTGGACTCTTATGTTAAGACTCTGCTCATTCTTACGTGTAGACAGCTGTGTTAAGCCTGTGGGGAAGCCAGACTAAACCAGGCTGAGGCCGGACTGCATCCTGGCTTCTAGGGTGCAGAAGGTGGGGAGCCCAGGCACCCATACTTGGGGTAAGGGCAGAGGAGCCTGGGCCTGTGGGGAAGGGAGGAGGTGGGCAGATAGCCAGAGAGGAAGGAAGCAGCAGGAGAAGGTGACATCCGGGAAGCCCGGGGCCAGGAAGGATGTGTAGGCCTTGGCAAGATGGGCCCCAGGTGAGGGTTTCACGGTCAGGCTGGACCCCATCTGTACAGCAGTTCTGCCAGGCCTCACACTGGGGCCCTCAGCCAAGGGTCTGCTGAAGGCCTGTCCCCACAGAGGACAGAAGATCCCCCAGGGGGCCAGCTTCAGCCACAGAGTACTCCCTAGCATCCCAACATCCTGTACTTCAGCAGGAATGGACACCCTTCTGGTTTTTGTTTGTTTGTTTGTTTGTTTTTATTGATTTTAAAGAGAGAGAGGAAGGGGCAGGGGGACAGAGAGCAAGAGACAGACAGACAGAAACATTGCCTTATTGTTCCACTTATTTAACGCACTCATTGGTTGCTTCTCAAATGTGCCCTGACTGGGGACTGAACCCACAACCTTGGCATATGGGGAGGACGCTCTAACCAGCTGAGCTGCCCTGCCAGAGTCTGGGTGCCCTTCTTGACCACTGGGAAGATGGGTTCGAGTCCTGGAGGGGAGGCAAACACCTGCCTCCTCTCCACCTCCTGCCCCGCCTGCCGGTTGATGGCAGACCTTCCCTGGGCCCAGTTCCAACCTGTGCCACTCTGCATCTGTTTCCCCTTCCCTGAGTGAGGGGTGCAAGGCCTGTTTCTTAGCCAAGAAGGGACCAGAGGGAAGGTTGTGGTCCATGTGCCTCAGGCATCCTGGTTACTCTGCCTTCGGTTGGGAAAAACCTCTGTTAGTGGCCACAGCTGCAGTCCTTCTATGGAGCCAGCTGCACTGGGGGGCCAGGCCCCCCACACCACCTCCCTGGGGCAGGAAGGTGTAGCTGGAAGAAGAAGCCAGATCCCCTTAGTCCCAGCACCCAGGAACTCCTGCCCAGCCCACAGAAACCAGGGCCTCCCAGACCTTCGCCCTTCCCATCACTCGAGCTGCCCTCCCAGCCCACTCCCCACTTCTGTCCAGCCACCCAGCGCAGAAAGGTCGTGAAGGGCCATGAGGACCTGGCAGAGCTCTGGCCTGGGCTCAGCGCCTGGGTAGGCATGCACAGAGCTTGAGGTTCTGGCTTTGACAGGCAAGGAAAGATTGGACCCATGAGCAAGAAGCCAGGGACGAGGGTCAGGCTGGGGATCTTACAGGCAGTAGGCAGGGCAGGGGCAGGGTGCTGCAGGACAGAGCCTCAGTGTTCAGGGAAATGACAGAAGGCTCTTGTGGGGGGCAGGGGGCAGAAGCCAGGCCCCAGAATCCCAGGGTCCATCACCAAGTCTTAGTAAATGAGGGAAGCTCAGGACCTGGGCAGAGGGCAGTCCCTGGGAAAGGCAGCCGGGGTCCAGAGCAGGCTGTGTCCAGGCCTTGGTGGTTAGGGTGATGCAGGGCAGCCATGGGTACTGCTGCCCACCTGGGGCAGACTAAGGTTGGGCTGAGCTCATCCTACTTAAAGATCAGAGAGTGGGGAAGACAGGATGAGGCACAGTCAGGGTAGGGGAGGCATCCTCACATTCTCCCTGCTTCACAAAGGGCCCGCTGCCAGGGGCTGCCTTGGGCAAGGCTTAGTGACTCCACTGCACTGGGGAGGCAGCAGGGATCAATGGGTAGATGGCTAGGGACTTAGGCAGAAGGGAGGCCACTTGCCATGTCCTGGTGTCCAAGTAGCTCTGAACTGCCTCCTGCCTGGCCTCAGCGCCTCCCCCACCAGCATCAGGGATGGCCAGCTCCTGTTCAGGGGTTCAGATTTCCAGGGTAACCTGGCCTCGGAACTCAGCGAGGAACCTGGAAGATTCGGTAACCTGAGTTCCCCCCACATCCCCACACCCCCCACACAGGGCTGTCCCCAGTAGGCTGGGTGTGGGGATGGAGGTTGGAGCAAGCTGGGTATGAAGTGCTACAGAAGTAGCTGTGTCCTGAGGTGACTTGCCTTGGCTGTGACCCCCAGTGCCCACGGCTGTGAGCAGTGACACCATCTAGGGCATTCTGGGGACTGTGACCTACCAGGGACTGAGAGGCAGAAGAGCTGCCTGGGCTGGGAGATGGAAACCAGGCCTGGAAGGAGCTGTGTACAGCAGGAGGCAAAGATGGCCAGGAAGTCCTTGGGGGGATGTTGCTTGTCTTATCTTGCTCACTGGTCCCTGCCTGCCTGACCAGTGGGGCCAGGTGCAGGCACCCTGGGGAGTCCTCTGCCCGGTCAGGCAGCCCCATCTCTGTGCTGCTCCTTGACTGGCACCCCACCCCCCCCAAAGCCCGGAACTGGGGCCCAGCTGGAGGTTCTGACTCAGGTCTCCTTCAGAGCAGGCCTTGGGGCCTTCAGAGCTGGTCTCTCTCCACTGCCGACTCAGTGACCCTGGACTAGTGTCTCGACTTCATTTGCTCGTTTGAGTGCTGAGGGCTAGAACAGGAGCAGCCACCCCTGGGGCTGGCATGAGACTGAAGGAACCCAGAGGCAGTGGCTAGTGCAGAGTTGAGCAACCAGTGATGACCATGAGGACAATGACAAATGGGCACCAGGGCACTGGTCACAGACCCTGTGTCCAGGCTCAGTCCCACATGGAGGATGGGATGGGGAGCTCAGGGAGGTTGTCCATCCCCAGAGAGCCTTGGGCATGGGGCTGTGATCTCCCTGTGAAGCAGGGCGGGGAGAGGAAGGACAGGGCAAGGCTGGGTGCTAAGAAGCTCCTCAGGAAGGGCTGGAGCCTTGTGCCCTGGATGAGACCTTTGGGTGTACTGGGCCATAGAAGGAGCAGATGCTGCAAGGAGAAGCCAGAAGGGTCTTTTGGAGCCACTGGGTGGAAAGGATTTAGTCTGAAGCTATTCCAGCCTCTGCTTAGAAATGCCCCACCTAGGGCCTGAAGTGGCCCTGCAGCCCTCCCACCTCAGAGGGAAGGAGAGAGTGACGGGGGTGGGGAGGGAGTACCGGAGAGCACTAGTCCTCCCAGTGGAGGCTTTTCTCCCCCAGGGGTGCCAGTGTGACTTCAGAGTGCCCTGTGCAGCCCCAGAGAGCCCGGACGTGGCAGGTGCGAGGACAGGTGCAGTCGGTCTGTAGCAGCAATGCCCCGCCATTTTGGCACCAGGGAGGGCTTTCATGAAAGAGTTTTTCCACAGACTGGGGGAAGGGGATGGCTTTATAGCCTGCTACCAGGTGCAGCTTAATTGTCACTTGCCGCTCATGGATAG